AGGAAAATCTGCTCTGTTTGTTGCGCACAAAGGCGCTTATCTTCTTATCTACTCTTTCCTATATCATATACAAATATCTAGTGTGAACTTGTCCGTTATGGATGAGATCTGGTAACCAACGAGGTGTCGGCGACTGTTGGGCGAGGTCTCGAGGAGTCGCCATCCGGATACCATCCGGTTACGGCTAGTCGTGTCCAACGGCCAATCAGTTGTGTGCGCCACACTGCCTCGTACTAATAACTGTCACTTCACTACGGGATCTGATAAGCCAATCAGCGATCGGCCACACATTTCACAAATCTGATCCGTGTCGGTCTCCAACGGCAGCAACAGCAGCGGCGAGGGCGCCTCCGATTCTGGGCGCTTCCCGACACCACAACTGCCCCCACCGCGCTGCGAACCACCGCATTGGCGAGCGGCGTGGTGCCTTCGTGTCCAGCTGCATATCCAAGTCATCCCGCGCTCTCGACGAAGACTGCCGTCTCGCCCTTCGCTTCGGCCCTGACTTCAGTTCGGCTCCAACCAACGGTAAGATACCGTGGTTCGTCAACTCTAACTGCGTGGGCACCTGGTACTAACTGCGTGGGTCGCCTCGATGCTTCTTGTACTTCGTTGTCATGCAGAATTCGGCTGCAATGTCTATTCGAGCAACTCAACTGTCGTGTGAGGCCTCGCTCGCATCGGTGTCGACTCAGCAGCGTCAAGAACTATCTCCACGGTATGTCCTCGCACTTTTCACCTTTCTAACACCTTGTTCATCGTGTGTTGATGCTGTTCTCTCTGTTGGTGCACTGCCAGACCTCGGTATCGACGCCAACGTCATCCATGGCCCCAAGTTCAGCAATATGGGCTATTTCGGTGGCCAAGTCGGCTCCGGCGGTGTCGCTTACCACGATATCGAGCGCCCCGGCTCCAGCGCCAGCTGTTAGTACATCTGCAAGCTCCAGCGCGACTGTAGAGTCGCATCTACCTCCAGTAAGTAGCAAAATACTGTCGCGTTCTGCTCAATGGGTTCAAAACCTTGACCGAAGGCTCGAAATTGTTCTAGGCGGCTATATCATCGCATCTTCCAGCTCCGCGCCTATCTGAGATCAAAGGTACCGCACTGCATGGGTTGCGGATGGATACTGCAGAAGAAATTCAGATCGGATCGTCGCTGTTTTCGGTTCCCGCATCACAGAGGCTGTACGATGTCTTGTACAGTTGGTGATCAACCCACCACATCCGGTAGACCCAGTTCGTGACCGTGCTATTGCGGCCGCTGCTTCGGTCGACGATCTAGCAGCTGCGGTGAGCAATCCGGCGTCGGATCCGCGAGATCTCGTTGTAGAAATTGGTGACCTGAAAGCGAGGCTCACTGATGCGAGGCTCGCCAAGTTGATAGCGCAGAAGCAGCAGAAGCTAACTGATCTGGAAACTCGATTCAGGCAATCTCGCGCCGAGTGCTCGTCTCTCGAGCAAGCGCTGGCTGCAGAAACAAAGCAACGCATTACTGCAGAAGAGCAGCTCACTGCTCTTTCCGCCAAGATGATGGTTCACGACGAAGTCGTCCTCAGAGTCCAGAAGGCCCTTGAGGCTGCCAACGAAGCTCGAGCGTCACAGTCCCGCAAAATCAACCATGACTGGCAGTTGTATAAGAAGAACCTGCGGGTCTTCGCCGACAGGCTCGAGCGCTTCCACAGGTACCTCACTGGACGCCGACAGAGCGTGGAGAATCTCGACCAGAAGGCCAAAAGGAAATTCTTGAAGGACGAGTTGAAAAAGGTTATCCTCGTCAACAAATATCTCCGCAAGTTCGTCGACGACCGTGACCTGGACCCAGATGCTTTGTTGCTGTTCGCTGAAGGTGGGGCTGACTCGCGTGAATCCATAACGTAACGCTGAAGACTCACTCGCTCGTTCTTTGACAGGCGGTGCACTCGGTGAACTGGACATTGGTCTATTAGGGCTGGATGAAGAGGCTGTTGAGCTCGTTCAGGATGCGATCAAGGATCTCAACCCATCCTTGTCGGCCAAGGATCAGGCTATTGAGCTCGCTCGCCAGGTACACCGGTTTCGTAGTGTTGACTTGTCTGACGATGACCAGATCAGCATTTCCAGCGAGTCGTCGAGTGGGGGTGAGGACGAGCGGTTTGGCATGGAACTGCAATCTGTTTTGGCAAAGAAGACCCGCTCTTCCCGTTCTCACAAGCGGTCAAGTGATGATAAGTCGGACCCTCGCTCTGATGGAAAGCACAAGAAGGATCGGTCGTCCTAGCATCCTAGTAAGAAGGCATCGACTGCTAAGTCCGCCAGCCTCGCTTCTTCGTTACCCAAATCCAAGTCAAAAGCTAAGTCGAAGGCGAGATCCAAGACGCCCAAATCCAGCTCGAAAACCTCGTCTAAGACATCTCCCACGACCACGACGCCTTCTCAACATGCGCCTGCGGCGCAACCCTTGACTACGTCAGCTTCCAAGGCGCGAGCGCCGACTCCGCAGTCTTCTATCCCAGCGCCGGCTCTGCCAGCGATTGCCACAGCGTCAATTCCGCCGGTATCTGCTCCTGTGACTCCGGTGCCGGCTTCATCGACGCAGAAGTCCACGTACGTCTCACAACCGCAACCACTCACTACCGCTGTTGCTTCTGCACTTGCATCACTCTCCCCAATCGTCGCTCCGCCTCCGTCTGCCTTGCCCATGCCTCCACTACCAGCGTTGCTGACTCCTTTGGTTCTGGCGTCTGCCCAGAGTTCGTCGCCTACGGTCAAGACTACACCTCAGCCTGCGCTCAGTCGTTCGATTAGCTTGTCATCCGTGGCTTCTACCGTGGATTTATCGCCGTCTTCACCTGAGATTTCGTCTGCGGCATCTCCAGGTCTCACTTCGGCTCCGGATTCGTCACAGAACATAAGCAATCTGGCGTCTACGTTGCAGTGGTCTCCTATGGCGCCGAGTTCTCACTCCATACGTACGGCGGCGGCAATGTCGCGATGGGTGACTTCTCAAGTCATCGCTCAGGAATCTGACAAGAGCTCCGTCTTCACTGGTGCTCCTGGCCAAACACCACCAGCGAGTCCTCGCGGAGCCTCCGAAGATGAACACGAAGAGTCGAAAGAGAACGACTCGCCATCTGCTTTACAACTGCAAGCTCTTGAAGACATGTCAAGTACCGGTGTCTCGTCACACCCTAGGTCTGCTTATCGTTCGATACCCATGTCGGCTTTGGATCCTTCGCTTTCAACACCGCCTCCGGCTTCTGTACGACCAGCGTCGAATCCGTTGAAGGTGAGGACTGCACGGCGTGGCGTGAAGCCACACACCGTGCTCATGGAAGCACTGGCTGCCGCTCATGCTCAGCACCCGTCGGCCGTGATGCCTGTGGTGAAGCTCCCTGCTCCCATCGAAGGTTGGCAGCCTCTTGTGCAGCCGTCTAAGAAGATTCTGGCCAAGGTGCAGCGCTACCTCAAGCCCAACTTCCAGAAGAGGGGTGCGCTGAGATGCTGGAATCTCGTACATTCCTTCCGCACGCCGCTGCCAGTTCTAAAAGGACTAGTAGCTGTATGTTCGGTCGAAGGGATACGGGCTTTCGCTGACTGGAGGAAGACTGAACACCCATGGCGTATTCTCGACAAAAAGTTTCCAAACACTGCCAACTTGTTTGACGTGAGTCCGTTCATGCCGGACGTCTTCATCTCTCTTCGTGCCCCTAAGAGAGCTCGTACCGTGAAATTATGGCGTCAAACACATGGTTTTGACGCTGGGGACAAGGAAAGCGACGTTGGGCTCGCTCTGTGGGAGCGAGGTCACTGGGTTGTTCAGTCGGAGATTGAGGCTGCTGTCAAGCGTCTTGCAGAAACCCACGGTGACAGTTCAAGCATCGTTAAAAAAACATGACTCGAGTTATGGATGCCTACTTTTCTGATCGCAACCGTCGTGCCGACAATCTTCGAAACAAGATAATGCAACTCTGGGACTGGTATGTGGACAACGACGTTCTCACGGAATTCATTATCGAGCCCACAATGCTGTGGTATTCGTACGAGGTGTTGCCATGGGTCCCGACAACGGCTGATTGGTGTTCAGAAGTCGCTGCATTGGATGAGCGTGAGCCATGGCGCAACTGTTGGATTGACGTTCCCAGCGAGCATCCATTCAACACTGCTTACGTGCCGTGCAACGTCAACGCTGAGCTGTTCGTACCCTGCGATCTGACCGAAGCGGAGGTCGGCCGAGCAGTCGTCGTGGACGAAGAACTAGCAGCTACGGATATTTCCCCATCGTGGTACCAATTGGTATCAATCTGGTCTTCAGACAGCGACAGCACAGAAGTGTCTTCAGTAGCAGAGGACGAAGATCAAGCCATTGACGAAATCCAGCCGTCGCAAGGTCTTAACGCACTCGCCTCAGCTGCTGCTTCGGCGACGCCGTAAATTTCGTTCGTTCGTATAATTCCAGGCTCGTAGCAGTTTGTACCCGAGGTTTAGCCGACGTAACCTGGAATATTCATATCTTTCTCGTAATTCCTTTCCATCTCGAGGGCTCGTTCACAATTCAAATGTAACATGAATGTTGCTGCAGTAGCATTTTTCGTCTGCGACCTTGGGTTGCATTGCCCCAAGGGCAGGTCATCATTAAGTCGATGGTGAACTAGTTCTCGTCCTCATCAGCGACTTGAACCATCTGGAAGCGATGTTCACTGCGCCTTCGCCGTAAGTAATCGTACAACATGCCACCACAGGACAGATTGGTGATAGGTTCCCATGTTGGCTCACCCTGGTCATCCCATTGAATCTTAAATTTACGTACAGCTCGGCCAGTCCTTGTTGACATTGGCATCCGATCGTCGAGAATGGCTTTCACTCCACTTTCCCCAGCAAGTCGATCAGGCTCCCAGCTATCTTCCGGCAGGAGCTCCTCGTCGAAGTCGAGACGCGACTCCTCAGTTACATCTTGTGTCAACCGAGTCCTCGGTCGATCTTCAAACTCACATACTGCCTTGAGACGGGAAACATGGACTACCGGATAAAAGCGATATCCACTCCGATCAGGAAGTTCCAACTCATATGCATATTCTTCGACCTTGCGCTTAATTCTAAACGGACCATGCCATCGGTGCGCAAGTTTCTTGGTAAGCCCAGTCCTGACGCGTTCCATATACAGCCAGACGCGACTTCCAGGTTCAAACAGAGATTTAGTCACTTGCTCATCACCCTCATTGTCGATACCATCTTGACAGGCAGTTTCACCGTCAAATCGTTGAGGCACCGCACCCTTTTCTTTCCGGCTCAGCGCATCATTATGCTCTCGGGCTCTTCTCTTCTTTTCTGCTGCCTGGTACTCTTTGGCCATCTCAAGTGCAATTTCTTGCTGTCTATTTACTTCTCGTCGCCACGCCAACGCGTCAGATTGGTTCCCGGAGCCTCGGCGTAACGATGACGTCATTGCATGCAATGTCGACCGTGTGTCCCATCCGTGGACGAGGTAGAATGGCGTCTCTTTTCTCGTCGCGTCGTACGAGTTGTTAATCGCAAATACCAGCCGTTCTGCAATATCGTCCCAGTCTTGTTGTAATGGATCTTCGACATACACTTTCACTGACTGCATTACTGTCTTGACTGACCTTTCTTGTTGGCCATTGGCTTGTGGTCTGTAGCTCAGCGTTGCGCGCGACCTGGACTGCATCATATCGGCAAATGCTTGGAACACCTCGCTCATGAAGCGAGGGTCGCGATCATGTCGGATTAGGGACGGTGCACCAAATCTTCGGTAAATGCACTGTTCGAACGCTTGTGCAACCATGAGTGCAGACGTGTCAGCCATTGCCCTTGCTATGACGAAGCCAGTAAACGAACACTGGAACAAAAGAAGCGCCGTATTGCCTCGGCGAGACCTCGGTAAGGGTATAACGAAATCCATGGACACAATCTAGAAGGGTCGTTCGGCAAGAATGTTGCCCGGAGAATACTTTCGTAACTGTGGTCGGCTTTTACTTGAGCTGCAGTCGGGACATGATTTAACATGCTTCTCGATGTCCGCGTACAAGCCATACCAGTAGTAATCCAGTCTCACTCGTTGATACGTCCGGACCACACCCTGGTGGCCGCCCTCGATAGAGTCATGGCAGTTCTGTAGCACTTCTTGGATCATCGTCGTCGGAACAACCAGCCGTAGTTGCACATCCTGATCACGCTCATTGTCGCGTCGACGCCTTGCACCGACGTAGTAGAGCACATCATCAGCTGTCAGCACGAATTTGTCGGCGACCTTCATCACATTCCGAACTACCTTGTAGGCAAGCTTGTCAGTCTCTCCTCGAAGCACTGCCTTTAGGTTGGACCACCGCACTTCTTCGTTTTGAGCCTTAGCGATGCGATGTCGCCGTTCTTCCTGTACCGCAATTGGATCTATATCATTGGCATTTGGTATTTCACGTTGCTGGTGCGTCGTTGTATCCGTTGTAGGTTCCGGTGTCTGTCTCTGCTCACTTGCTTTATCCTGGTTGTCAGCTGGGGTCACATCAGCAAATCGAACACGTTTCTGTGCTTTCTTCTGTCGTCTTGTCATCACTAAGACTTCGCCATGCTAGGTATCGTCCAACAGGTATCATACAGGTTTACAACCAGGTACCATTCAGGTATTTAAATTACTAGTATCTTTCGTAATCTATTCTTGAAATTTTCTGGAAGCCACTCATTTGGACGGGAACGTGACACGCGCCGGCCTCGCACGGCAGATCTCGCAGACGACGGGATGGCGAGGACCCACAAGACAGCCCTTATCAAGCAGCAAATGGCTGCTGAAGCAGCAGCTAGAGAGGCGGCGAATGCAGCCGCAGCTGCAGACAGCGCTGATGGTAAAGCCGCCTCTGGCAAGGCTGCCCACCGTGAAGCCGTACACTCCGCTAGAACAAGGTCCGAGAAAGCAGATGCTATTCAACGAGCGAGGAACGGCTGTGTTGAAACGGAAGCGGAGGAAGACACCGAGCTGGAGGAGAAGCCAGCAGCTACCAGCGTGGTGATCGACACTAGTGAGGCCAGTGAGGGAGGGGAAGAGCATGAAGAAGTGAGCACAGGTGCCGAAGACGACGGCGCTGACGCTGAGTTGGAGTCCGACGGTGGGAGCAGTAGCTCTGTTGGGCGCAAGAGAAAGCAACGCCCTACCCTACACGTCGACGAAGACATGGCCACGGTACCGCCCTTCACGGAGAGACACAGATCATGGGCGGAGTTTACGCAGGCCTTCGATGTATACAAGGCTGCTACGAATCAAGTGCTGGTCGTGAAAGAGGTGATAAACGTTGCCAGACGCAACAAGTCTCTCCGTAACCAAGTGCAGTACCAAGGCCTACCCGACGACGAAATTCCTTTGGTCCCAACGACTTTGGACCCATACCAGCGCAAGTACATATGTACTCACGGATGGCCCTGCCCGTGAGCGATCCTCGGGAAAGCGGACATCACATCATGTGCGGCGGACAGATTGCCCCTTTCAGCTCATAGCTCAGTGGACAGAGTCGGCGGATGAATCGTGGGTGATCGTCCCCAAACGTGCAGTGTACACGCACAACCACCAGGTTTCAACAGGTATTTATCAGCAATACCCAGGTATTCGCCAGGTACCAAGTCAGTCTCCATTGTGCCGGGCGTACGTCTGCTTATGCAGGCGCAAGCAGGACCCTCGAGTATTTACGAGTACATTCGTGAGAACTCAGATCACCACGTTACGATGCAAGATGTTCGTAATCTTGTCGCTCGTCTAAGGAATTCCGGTGAGTTGCTTACTATACAGACAAGCCGCGAACAGCTTATTCTTACGTGGATCTATTGCTGCTTCAGGTGCTGAGCTTTCAGATGACGATGCGGTGGCCGAAAGGATTGTCAACTTCAATGTGGAGTCTCCGATGAATGTGTCTTCTGTACATGAGAGTGCTCGCGGCAACACTGGTGTAATATCGATTACGACAGGCCACATGCGCGCTATGGTGGAGAGTTTCCCTGAGGTGCTTCAAATGGACTGCACTCACAAAACGAACAAGTAAGTGGACACTATCCACATATTATTCAGGTATTTTCAGGTATTAACCAGAATTTACATTATCTTCGTCATTCAGATACAACTATCAGCTCTTATCGATGGTGGCGATGGATCAGCCCGTTCAATACTCGTGACTGGAGACAAATGCGGACTGGCACATGGCGAAGTGTTTGGATCATTTCAAGCGAGCTAACGACTGCTGGCGCTTGGTGCGGATTGTTATCGTGGACAAGGATATGCGAGAGGTGGAGGTCATCCGACAGAAGCGTCCGGAAGTCCGTGTTCTACTATGTCACTTTCACGTTATCAAGTGGCTGCATGAAACAATTCGGAAATCCAGCAAGTAAGGGCCTTACGAGGCTGCTGTATTAAATCAGCTACGACCAATATGACATATGCGCGGTCCGATGAAGTGTACGAAGAACACCGAGCTGAGTTCAAAAGTTTGTTTGTCGATGAGAGGTGGCAGGCAGGAATTGCGGGACTACTTTGAGAAGAACTGGGATAATTGCAAAGACATGTGGGTTATGGCGTACCGGATGGAGTTGCCTTACTTCAACAATCACACGAATAACCGCGTGGAAAGCCTGTTCAGCAAAGTGAAGCAGCATCTGAAGGGCCATCTCACTATGAACGCCAGTTTGGAGGCTCTCTTGTTCTACCAGCGGCGCAAGGAGGAGGAGTACTTCGCCAAGGTGGAAATGCCTGAAACATTGCGGGACATTACGTACTCTGAGGAAATGAACATCGTGCTCGGGATGACGACGAAATGGGTGGCAGCCGCAATCAAGTCCCAGTACGACGTTGCGGTAGACCCCGAGATTGTAAGCTCGTACACAGTAGTAGACAATGGACCGACCGTCACCCTCCGAAGAGAAGACCACGAGTACTTACTGCAGAAGGAGACGTTCAAGTGTGACTGCGAGTTCTCACAGACCATGCAGCTACCTTGCCGACACGCGATGATCTGAAGAAATTCAAGAGGAGGTCCATTCGTGGTTCCCTTTGACGCTATCGGGTCCAGGTATGTTCCAGTAGTGTCCATGTTTTTACCAGGTATCACTTGGATATTGACCAGTTATTGACCAAGTTTTGGGTTGTGGATTTTGTAGGTGGTACGGACGGAGCCGCTTATCAACTCAGGGATTGTCGAAGGTGGCCAAACCGTTTGTTGCCAAGGTTTTCAAGAGAGATGATGCAGCTATCTCCCGGGATCGAACTGAAAAAGAGAAATTTCGTCGTGCTCAGCAAGCTTTCGGACGAATCAGTGGGGAGCTTGCTCGGCTAGGAGATGAAGCTTTTGACGCGGCAATGGACCAATTCGAGGGGTGGTGGCACAACCTGCGTCAAGGTCAGATCTCAATGACGCCTTGCCATGAGCAGACGGAAAGTCGTGATAACGACGACTCTAATGATGGTGGCAATGCTTGCGGTGGGGGAAATGCTGAGGATACAAGTAGTGTTGCTCAAGCTATTAGCGGTGGTGGTAGTTCGCCATCTTCGGACGAGTCGGAGGATCTAGCATTAACTCAGCAAACGGCGGTGTCGACTCAACTAGTGCGCAAACCAGACGTACCTGTCAAGATCAAACTCAATAGCAGAGTTGTTCCAGTTGGACGACCCAGACTCAACAGAAAGGACAGCGAGCTAAAGCTAAGGCTGATCTGAAGGAGTACAACCAAGGCATGAAACTGCGTGGTTTACTCCGGGATCGCGACGTGTGTGGGGTGGTTAGTGCTTTGAAAGAGATTCAGCCGGGTATCCTCGAAATGGGAGCGTTTCTGGTGACTTTTCAAGTGCTAGGGAAGGCCACACCGAAACTGTCGATGGCTTGGCGGCTTCGTACAGACATCGTCGCGGACAATGTGCGCTACCGACTCCCCGAAGAGACTGTCAACCGCGCATTTGAGTTGCTGAGCGAGTCGAGAACTGGACAGAAGGATGAAATTCAGCTGGACAGTGATGGTGAAGGCGTAGGTGACGAAAACGGCTATGTATTGGTTGCGGAAAAGGTTGGCACGTATTCAAGAGAGCAAGTGGAGCAAATGAAGTGGATGTGGAATATGCAGGATACCTGTCGCCGAGGAGTGCTTCTTTGTACTTGGCTGAACAACGAAGTGAAGACTCTGGTGGATGAAAAGGTGGCCGTGAGCGTGGCATTTGACAACTTTTTGAAAAGCTGGCCATACTTGGTCATACCTGGATTTGGATTTGACATCACCTACGCGGATCTCTTCTGTATCCGAGGTTCAACTTGGCTCAACGACGCCACTATGCGTGCCTTCTGTGTATTTTTGAAGACGTACAAGAACAATGCCACCGTTATGATACCTCCAGTCAAGAAGCAGACGGTGAAAAAACCGACCAAGAAGGAACCAGTCCTCGCAGAGCAGCAACTGCTGCAAATTCGCAATTGCTTAATTCACAGCAGTTCGTCTTGATGCCTATCAACTTGAGTGGCGTTCACTGGGTGTGTTTGGTGGTGGATGGAACCGCTAAGAAGATCCAGGTTTACGACAGTGCTGGTTCCGCCATGTACCTCAAGCGCTTGAAGAATATTGCGTCTGAGATCGCATCTACACTGCCAGACATGTATGAGGAGATCGTCTTCGACGGACCTCTGCAGACGGATGGCGACAGCTGTGGTGTCTTTGCGTGCCTCCAGCTATGGAAGTCCGTGTCGAGCAAGGCACCGACGGACGTGTCCGAGTCTGGTATTATCAAGCTGCGTTGGAAAATTTTGCAGGCTATTCTAAAGGTGAAGCGTCGCTCGTAGTTGAAAAGGTAGATGCAACGGTAAATGCTGGAGTCTAACCTAATAATACCAGGTATTTACCTGAAAGATACATGTTTTCTTGCTAGCCAAATTTGCCAAACTTATGATGTAGGATTGCCGACGAAGGATGTCCTTCACCACTTTGACTTTTGTCCAAGTTGCGCACACATGACTTTCCAGGTATTTCGACAACTAATACCTGCGTAATATTTGGGCGGTAATTTATTCCGTCAAAAGTAATCGAATTGGAAATCACTGGATTAATACATGTGATATACCTGGATCTGAGTAAACCTACACCTATTTCCATGTCTGTGAAACCTGGACTCTAACGCCTGCCTTTATTTTTTATCGCTCAAGATGAACTCACTATTATTTAGTTTCTATATATTGAGGAACATATTTGTCAGAAATAAAAAGTAATTATTTTGGAGTGATCTGTTTGGCTAAAAATGAGCCGTGTGTCGCGTGATTGTGTGCTGCTGCTCAGTCGAGAACTTTCCGCATGAAGATGGCAGATGAAAAGAACATGGAGGAGGCGGAGACGGAGGTGAAGCTTCGCTGCGGTGTGTATGGCGAAGGGAGCGTCTTCTCCGTCGAGATCCAGCGCAATGCAGATGTGGAGGTGCTGCAGGAGAAGATCTTCGCGAAGAAACGATACAGCGAGCGGTATAAGTTTGACGCGAGCGAATTGACGCTCTACTTGACGCGGAAAGAGGGGGAAACCACGTGGCAGGCAGATGACGACAACTTGGATGCTCTCTTGCAAGGAGATGTCGATAAGAAATACATGAAGATGCGTCCGTCGTGGAAGCTCAACAAGAAGGAGTTGTTTGGACCGAGTTTCACGCCCGGAGATGAAGAGATTCACGTCCTTGTGGAACTTCCTCCTGACGAGTTCAGTGTGAAGCGACAAAGAGTTGAGCATCGCACGTCGCTCGCGGAGCTATGGGAGCACTCGGAGTTGCAACTGGCGGTATCGCCTGCTCCACACCAGCTGGCAGAGCTCCTCCAGAAGCCATTGCCGTTCAGACTGACGCTGCGCGATTCGGTGGTTGCCGATCGTGTCTTCAGTCCGAATGGACCACTCATTACATGCCCGGATCTCACGCTATTGATGGACCATTTCCTAGCGTTGAGTGTGTTTCGTCGACCTGAAGCAACAGCATCCGAGAACTCTTGGCAGCTCTACTATGATGCATTACTGTCGATTCCGATTTCCCTTTGGCACGAGAAGGGCTTTTTGGTTCGAGAACACAGAAATCTCGCCGATAAAACAGGAACTACCAGTCTACGGAAGCGACCGGACTACATCCTCCAATTCAAGGGACTCGTCTTGATGCGTGGAGAAGACAAGAGTTCTTTGGAGTCAATAGCCAAGGCACAAGCGGAATTGACGACCAAGATGCGCCGATGGAATGTGATGCTTTATGGAGATCTCCCATACATCTTGGGCTACGCTACTTCCGGGAGTGATCTACAAGTGGTGGCAATCGAAAGATCCGACGGACCGTGTCGCGCAACTGTGATACTCGACTTCAGCGTCTTTGAGGATAAAGCCGGTGCGCTGAAGGTGTTTTACAATTTGGCGTTCTTGCTCCACCAGATGGCCAAGTTGACGAAGCGATCGTATGCGTGTGATCTCGAGCCATTCGTACCCGATGAAAACGAGAAGCGGAAGATCGTGCTGCTAGATGGTTTTATCGAACGGACGATCCAACGTACACAGAGCGGTGGTGAAATGGACGTTGAGCGACTCAAAAGCGTATACGAGACTCTGCAAGGATTAGATGAAAGCAGCCCCGTGACGCATTTGCAGACCGTGGAAAAGTTGTCGGTGAAGCGAGACGGCCGTTTGGTCGTGGAACTGTCTCCGATTGGTTATCTGCGACTTCCAACAATCGACGAGCTGAGCGAGTGGTTGCGACATATGCTGACAGCGTTGAAGTATTGGCACGGGTGCGGGTACTGCCACGGTGATATTCGTTGGCATAACATTGTGCTGGTGCCGACCTCTGGATTCAGTTATTGGGTGTTGATCGACATGGATGAGTCACGCCAACCCAACACAACGACTATTCGGTGGAACCATCGGTATCATGGTCACAAATTACGATTCCAGCACGACATGTATCAGCTTGGTCAGCTGATGGGGGAGCTTCCCTTCGAGTTATCCGACGATCTGAAGACTATGCAAGCGATGCTTCTATCGGCGGTAGATACTCCACAGTTGACGGCGGAAATTGCGCTCGCAGCGCTGGAGGAGCATCAATGATCAGCTCTCCACTTGTACTAAGTCGGATGCATAGAGTTCCGAGGTAAACCGCGTTCCGAACCGGTTCCAAAATGATGCCGTACTTACTAGAGCTGCTGTGGTGCTTCAATTTAATAGTGAATTGGAATTATCTGATGAATTGTGGGAACCCGGGTTCCAGAATTTTCGGAACCAAATAGTGTGACTAATTAGGGTGAGACATTAATTAGTCTAAGCGTGACTAATTCTACCGCATCGTAAATAGTCTGAGTGCATAATTAACCACACTCATACTAATTTAGATGAGCAAAATCTGCAGCACCTCACATAAATTAGTATGAGTGAGACTAAATACCGTAGCTACTGTTGTTAAAACACACACATAATTTGTGCGTTACATTAAGCATTGTAGATGTCTGTAACATTAATATACGCACTTGCGTACTATTATGATAAGTATTTAGCTACTAATACTTGTATCTGGTTGTTACCCCGTGAAAATCATCTGATTCCAAAGATGTATTTTTACACTTTTTAAAAGCCTTTTACTACATATTTGATCACGTCAACCATTGGGTCAAAATCACGGGTGTGGAAAATTTAATTGCTACCTAGTACAGTCACGTTGTTCATCGAAAGCCAGTGTGTATTGACACACGCCTTAGACAACGACACAGATCGATAACCGTTTTGACGATACCAAACACCACTCAGAATCGTGAAATTTGCCTAATTGTGAGCTGAAATGTTATCCTCTACTACGTAATAGTATCTATCTCCGAGTTAATACACAAAATACCATATTAACTTCTAAGATTTACAGCTATTGTTACATTTTGGCAGAAAGTAGTATTCTTAATATCAGAAATGCTTTGATATATTAGTTAATATTTGACAAATATTATTTACCCATTTAATTTTTATGTTGTTTGATCTTTAAAAGTTATTTGCGGTGACACAACCTACCAATAAAAGCTGTCAATGTTTCATAACTGATTATTGTACTCAACCCAATCGTAGGTACACGTATAAGCAGGTAATATGGATTGAATCTTGCGTACTTTCACGGTTTTTCACGGTTCATGATCAATTGTGGTCAACGAGACTGAAGTACAGGAGCAGGAGACGCTGACAGCACGAGCAACTAGGGATGGTAAATCGTCTCAATCCGACCGATTGGATAGTCTTGTTTGGCAAATCCGATTTAATCCGGATTGTAATCGACCAATTTCGATCGATTTCAAATCGATTTCGACTGAATCGGATCCAGTCGATAAGTATTTATAGAGGTAACCCCTTATAAATCGAAAAAAGCGAACAGTGCTAAGCACAAAATACCAAAACATGCAGTACCCTCACAAAACTCGATTGGTAGAAAACCTTAAAATAAACACCAATAAGGTTTTCCCTTCGATTCATGTTTCCACCTGCCGCTATTGATATAACGACGAGGAGGCGCTCAACCTCGAGAAATTTGACCAAGATTGTTGGCGTAGCTGGAGGTCGACAGAGAGGCTGGCGAAGACAGGGGATGTAGTCCAGGCTGCAGGACGAAGCGCGGCACTTGTGGTAGTGGGCCACATTACGTCCAACACGGCGGTGACGATGCCTATGAAACAGATAGTGGAGTTATGACACGCCCGAGAGAACAGTGTTCCTGTGCTGGTAGATGGAGCACACGGACTACTAAACCTACCGTTGGATCTGGACGACATTGGGGCGGACTACTACGTTGGCAACTGCCACAAATGGTTCTGTTCATCTCGAGGCGCTGCCTTCCTGCATGTTGCACGAGAGGATGGACCTGCAGTTGAGCCTCTTTGACGCCTTCTCAAGACAGGCATTCAGCAAGGACGACAAGCTTGACGATGGGGAGAAGATCGACCAGGTGGAGATCGATCGTGTTCGAGCTCAAGACCCAGACTCGCTAGCCTTCTTCCAAGCTGTGGTTCTGTTATCTGGTGTACTGGAGATGATGCATGTCGACGAATTAAACGTAGACAAGTGGCAATGCCACTTGTCTACGTTTAAAACGCCAGATATTCCGCACATGATCTTGTGTGGAATATCATGTGCGGAATATCTGGCGTTTTCTGAGAACAAAGAGAGAGAAGAAGCGCACATTGCACGTTTGGATTGAGTGGACATGAAATTTTAGTGAATTGCGCTTCGTCCGAGTTTGGCCGTAGCTTCGTTGAACTTCAGAAATGACTGCATTTCAGAAACTGCAGAAACAGCATCATCACCCAGTCGTGCACGTCGAATGCTCACGGTGTTCCCAGCCGCTGAAAATGCTTGTTCACTTGGCACAGAGGTAGCCATCACGGCAAGAAAGTCGCGTGCCATCATCTTGATGCGAGGGAAGCCTTGGAGGTTATGCATCCACGCGCATACTTCCTCACTCTTGGTTTTTGTGGTCATGGTGTGGTCACGGTGTCCAAGCCAACGGTCCAGCTCTGATGCAAACGATTCCCCAGCGTGCGTTGCTGGTTCATCCGCACCAAATGTGTCGTCTATCAGCTGATAGAGCGCTATGCCAAGAGCCACGTCTTGCTCTTCATGTTGGTTCATCTGGGGTTCTAGCGTTTGGTGCTGGGACTCAAATTTTGCTCGATACTGAGCCTCGTACTCATCTCGAACGTACCGTTTGATGACACTCATGTCACCCACAAACTTCGGCAGCAATAACTTTGCTCGGGGATCAAGAACAGCTGCTATCTTCGCCTCGCGGTTGTTAACAATGTCGCTGTAGTCCTCAAGTTTATTCTGGAACGCTGTCGCAAAATCCGCCGTGTATTGCGACGTGGCTTCCTCAATACTTTTGTTGGTGTGCATCGAGATCAACTCGTACACGACTACCGCCATGCCAAATGTGGGATAGTTCTTTCCTGACATCATGGTTGTGGCCGCCTTAACCGGAGTTAAGAACTTGCAAAACTCTCCTAGAGCTTCCCATGTGTCTTCGCCAATTTCGGCAGCAAGGTGGCTATCTGGAGCAATGGATAGGTCGCTGTAGCCTTCATGACGGTCTCGGATACGACGCAGCAGTTCTTCTATGGGCTTCTTCAGTTTAATTGTAGACACTACCATCCCCCATGTACTGTTCCAGCGAGTCACGCAGTCCAGCTCGGGCTCGCGAAATGGCACATTTAGTGCAGCGCATACAGCCTGAAGAGCTTCGCTTAGAGACGGCGAATCGGCTAGTTTCCTGAGAACATCCCGCACTTTTCCAATGCTGGTGTCTACGTAAGGACACTCCGTTAAGCCTGCCTTAACCCCAAGTTGAAGAACGTGCGCAAGACAACGAACTTGAAAAACGTTTTGAGGCTCTTCACGCTGATGATCAACATCGGCTTCCCGAGCCGACGATGGCATTGATGCCTGCAAATGCTCTTGGAGCGCGTTGGGCAGCTTTTCATTGATCGAATCGACCATGGTTTTGTTGTTTTTGGCGTTGTCGGTGGTTACGGCCCACAATGATGCCAACAGGGCACTGTCCATCGCCTTGACGACGTCAATTAAATGATCGGCCAGTCGGGGTCCGCTGTGTGGGTATTCTACTCGTTTGAATCCCAAAATGACAGCACGCAGGTTCCATTCATCGTCGATCCAATGTAGTGTGACGACTATGTATCCCCTATTTACAGCCGATCTCCACATGTCAGTGGTTAAGCTCGTTCGGGACGATGCAACATCCGACACCAGAGTCCTTCGAACCAACGCCTTCTCTTGTTTCCACTTCGTGAGTACGTGGCTTCGAATGGTTTGACGGACTGGAATCTTGTATAATGGCTCCAGCTTTGCGCAAAACGAGATAAATTTCGGTTGCGCAACGATAGCAAACGGTTGTGAATTCTCAACGATCCAGTCAACAAGCGCACTATCCGCTTCAGCTTTCGAAAATTCCCCTTGGACTCGCTGCTTCACACTTCGGCTAAACCCGTGGCATAACAGATCCGTTTGTCGTGCACTTATTGTTACACCAATATATTCGCGCGGGTGATATTTCTCCAAATGGTTTCTCATTGTAGTGTGGGCTTTAGAATTCCAAACCTGTGTTTTACCAGCCTGCGTACAGCAACGACACGAGTACGCGCCGTTTAAGGTTTCTTCGATGAAATCCCAAATGTCGGAGCGCTTCCGACTCCTTTGCTCACTTGATGTAGCAGTCGATGCTGTGGCGTCCGTCACGTTCTCTTCATCGGCAGCCACAATTCCGCCTCCTGCGCCATCTTGATAGCCTGGGCCGTCCATGCTGGAGTGAAGATTGGAGGCTCTGGGGGAGTATGTCAATACGCTTGAATCAGGAGCATTTTGCTATCCGGATCCGAATAAGCACAACAAAACGACTCAAACCGACTCGATTCGATCGATTCGATCGGATCGACTCCGACTGAGTCGAAATCGGACGATCGTTCTCTAGGTTACCTCTAATATTTAAATTTTTGCATTCGTAAACCGATATTAAGTATTACAACGCGAATTGGCCCGTTATGATCGATCCGTGCAAATCCGATTCCACCTCAATCGATCGATTGTCGATCAATCGGGCTCAAATCCGATCGATCCAGCATAGCCAATCGAAACGATTAAATTTTTAACACCTCTACGAGCAACAATCCCACTACTATTATAATAACGATAATGGACAACGCTGAGTGTTGTTACGTCACGGGGTGAAATATACACGAAGAAGAAAGTTTCTTGTTTTTTTAAAGTAAAAGGGAAAATGCTTATTAAAATAAGCATTTCCCCTTTTACTCTTGGTTCTACAAGACGCCACGAAATAAATTGATGTGTATTCTATCGATACTTTACAGACCTCATGTGATTTATTCATTGTTCCATTATGTGTTACCAATTCCTGTCCAACCCTATGTGTAGGATCACCTTCCATCCCTAGATAAGCTTTATACAAGAAACTAGGAAATAAAGACTGCCCATAAGCATCAGGTTTTTCTGGAGAGTGAATGTGCATGAACTTTCGCGAATTTCCAGCAGAAAGAATAAGCTATTATTTTTTAGTTGCTTGAGTGTTAACGGGAATTGTTGGAAAGAAGAGCTCTGTTTTAAAGTGGCGACCGTGCTTCTTAGTGATGATCTTGGAGCCTTTCGTGGTGATACTCGGTCGAGGTGCAGGGGTTAAAGGATTATATTCCTGTGGAGCCACAACAACGCCCGTATACAAGGTCCCCGTGCCATGGATGAGGCTGTCGATAATACTTTGATGCGGCAGTGATTCCGGACCAACAGATCCAGTCGTCATGCATTCGCTGCGTCCGCGAGAATTTTGCTTCGCTATTGACAAGCGATGCCGGTGGTACGCCTCACGTTTGCTACATTCAGCACGTAAGATTGCAGCCATTTGCTGTTTTTCCCGCTCCCGAAGATTCCCCATGACGTTGTCGTTGGCTGTTAGAAGACGGCGCCCCTGGTCGTATCGATGTCCCATCGAATTCAGCGCTGCTGGCGATTCAATGCGCAGCACGCGCGTTACACCGTTCGATAACAAACGATACGTCGGAGGAGGTCGAGGTGATGCTGAAGTGCTTTGGTTAGATTGTGAACAACTTCGAGGTCGGGCTACTCGCGCTGTTCGTGGTGGAAACTGATGCTGAATTACGAGACTTGAACTCATGTGTCCTCCATTAGTACAACGAGATGCTATACGCGAAGACGTGGATGCTCGTACGTTGTAGTTGGTGGGGCTCTGAGTGCGCTGTTCCTCCTCTGGATCACCGTCTATAGTATACGAAGAAGGCAGGAACTGCTCGCAGAAGACGCAAACATCTAACGGTATGGTGCGTTGGCCAAGAATTTCCCGTTCGCGAGTAAGATCAGCGAGAAAGTGGTCAAATCCTTCTTGGATCAAGCGACTCGTTGGTCCATTATCTTCGGTACTACGCTCCATTAGCATCCGTCGTGCACGCAGCAATTCCTGACAAATGTACAAGGACTAAAGCGTTGTGGAATGATGCAAAAAGAAACAATTTACGGACTCACCCCAGCCGGTACGTTGTCAACGAGTCCGGAGCTATAGAACTGCTGGCACAAGGCACACCGTCGACTACGCCACGGTTGAAACAATTGTTAAACAACGGTGAAAGTAGTAATTGAAGTGTTCCAGTACCTGCGTCCTGTGCTTGCCATTTGGGTCTTGGTGTGCAGGAATCGATCCAAGCTTGGTGCAATTTTGAACAGCTTCCAACGACTAAAAATAAAGGAGACCAATAAGTTTCCAGGCCCTCATCAAGAATTTCTTCAATGACGTATGCACTCGTTGGAATCAGGGACAGGGAGGGATTCTTTCTTGCTCACAGACACCGGATAAACATGCAAAACTCTAGATCAATTTCATGGCAGTTAGCTGCCACCTCCCATTGACGATCTTTTTTCTTGGTTCAGTGGTCATTTGGAGTTTTCCGATGGAGCGGCGACCAGCATCGAAGAAGCAGAAAACGCGCCGCGGCGCAGAAATCACACCCGAAAATGCTGCTCAAGTGTTGTCAGCAGCTGAACACGAACTGACGCGGTATGATAAGCAATCAGCACCAGTGAGTACCAGCTGCGAGATGGGTGTTATTGAAGAAATCTACTGTGAAAACTTCATGTGCCACCGCAAGCTGCGGGTGACACTGAGTCCTCATATTAATTTCATTACTGGTGAGAATGGCAGCGGCAAGAGCGCCATTATTGCAGCCATTCAGATTTGCTTTGGTGCTACAGCACGCACGACGCACCGCGGCAAGAATATCAAGGCATTCATTGGACACGAGTTTGACGGCAACGCTTTGGTTAGTGTCAAGCTACGCAACGACAACAGTGATGTCTTTCATCCTGACAAATACGGCAAGAATATCATCGTGGAGAGATTGATTCGCAGAGACGGATCGGCTGAGTACAGACTTAAGAACGAGCAAGGACACGTGGTGTCCAAGCTCAAGAGCGAATTGGACACGATGATGGACCGCCTGAACATCCAGACGGACAACCCGTGCGCAGTGATGGACCAAGAGAACGCCAAGTTGTTTTTGAAGGGCAAGTCGGAGGACAAGTACAAGTTCTTCCTGCAGTCCACGGACCTGGCTAAGATGAGAACGACGTACACGCATATCGACGAGACGACTCGAATGATCATTGAGTCGGCACTGAAGTCCGAAGTGGCCAAGATCGCGACGCTCAGGGATGCCAAGAACAAGACCAAGAAGCAATGGCAGGAGTCACAAAGTGTGCGATCCTTGTTTTATTAGGAGCTATTGGTCATTGTTTTGACTTTTTGTGGGTTTTATTTGTGTTTTTACAGATTGGAAAGCTGGAAAAAGAGCTGGAACTGCTGAAAACTGAGCTGGAATGGTCTTTCGTGGACCAGAAAGAGACGATCACTGCAAATGTGCAAAAGAAGCTGAAGCAAAAGGAGTGCGATGCTACCAGTGCTAGTGAAAAGCTATCGAAGGCAACGAACGAAGCACAACAACTGGAGCAAGACCAAAATGATGCAAACGCAAAGCTCGAAGAGGCTAGTATGCGAATGGATAAAAATCATCGACAGAAGATGCGTGTTAAAAGTAAAATCCGAGAAGCACGTCGTCCGATACAACAGTACAAAGCTGAACTTAGTCAAGTGACGCGGTCCAAAGAGCGCACGAAGCAGCAGCTTACACGGCTACACCACGATCTGCAGCAGAAACGGGATAGACATGCAGCTAAGCTTCATAGACTTAATGAGGGGAACAAGGACTTACGAGATCGAGTTGGCAAGAAGCAACAGGAAGTAGCGCAGACAGAGAGCGATCTCCATGACACTGAGGCCGATGCTGATGCGCACAGACACACGCTTAGAGACCTCGAAGATCGACAGGATGACTGTAAAACCCAGCTCCGGCAACTTTACCAGGAGGCTGAAACGACGAAAAAGCGTTTAAATTCTCTCAAACAGCAAAAGCAAAACCGAGTTGCAGCTTTCGGGCGGAATATCGCACACCTGCAACAACTGATACAGACAAATCTGCACCAGTTTACAGCGCCGCCCATTGGACCTTTAGGAATGTATATCACGCTGCCCGACGACTTTATGCGGTTTGAGAGGGCTATTGAGGTAGCAACTGGATCTGTATTGAGGACTTTTCTCGTGGTTAATGGTCAAGACAAGGCACTATTAGACAAACTCAGACGTCAGGCCCATTGCAGTTCTACTGAGGCCAATATGATCATCTCAGCGCGAACTGGATACCGCTACAACAATTTGGAGCTGCCAAGTGGTGATCTCGCTGCTCATGCGATATGCAACATTCTACAAGTGAATAACGATGAAGTTTTTAATGCTCTTGTTGATACCTGTAGCTTGGAAAGCAAATTACTATTTGATGATCGTGAAGTGGCTGAACGTCGTGTTCTGACCGGCTCAAGTGGAAGCTTCAGAATGGCACGCTTTGTGTCTGAAGTGTACCTACCTTCGGGTGACAAATTTGTAGTTCGCTCGGGCAACTTGGCGTACATTGCGAACAAAAGACAACTGTATGGTTATATTGTTCGCCAGAATGTCGACAGAGGCATAGTGGAGATGAAGAATAAGCTGGACTGCCTGGAAAAGGAGGTGGATGAACTGCGTCGTGACGAATCTTTGCTGAGTCATGACAAGAACGAGTTGGGCAACGATATCAAGCAGCAAAGTGATCGAGTTAACTTCTTATCACGGCGATTAAACCAGCAACGCATGGAGCTACGTTGCTTGAATGACGAGATTGATGATATTTTGCAGGACCACACGTTGGACACGTCAGTGTTGGAGAGCGAGTGCAAGTCTACGGAGGACGAGTTGGAAGACTTCCAGCGGCGCGAGCAGGACCTGAACAAGGCCATAACACCGGATCGAAAGTTACATGACTCTTTAGATGCGCTGAAAAAGCTTGATTCAGTGGAGAAGATGATAGCTGTTGAGATGAGCGAGTGCCAGTCCGATGTAGATGCCGTTTACAAGCGCCTACGTGAAGCGAAAGTGGAAGAGATAACCGAGCAAAGAGAGCTTGAAGCAGCTCGTTCGACTGTAGAGAATCTAGAGCAGCAGTTGATCTCGGTTCGCGACGAATGTGACGGGCAAACTCAGATTGCGTTGAAATTAGGGAGAAGACCGGATGAAGTGAATGTTCCTGCACAATGCAACAGGCGAGTTAAGACAGTGGAGCGTCAACTGGCACGAGTGAGGGACAAGTTGGAAGGTTGGAGTTTGAGTGAGCTGAAGGCCGAAATGGAGGCGCAAAGGGCGAAGTACAGGGCCAAGAAAGCCAACTTTGACAAGATACGGGGCAATCTGCAGCGTATCCGCTCCATGTTAAACGAACGTGTAGACAATTGGACACGATTCCGCAAGGCAATCTCGCAGCATACGTCAAGGGAGTTTGAAAAGTTCATGTTGCTGAGCAACTTTGCTGGTAAGTGCGCTTCCTACACCGCGATCATCGCTTGGAGATCGTTGTCCGTCGGAACGAGTCAGGAGCGACCAGCTCGTCACAGATGACCGATATGAAGGAGCTGTCCGGTGGAGAGCGTTCGTTCACACAGGTGTCGTTACTGCTGGCTCTGGGCAGCCGAACGGAGTGTCCGTTCCGAGTTCGACGTCTTCATGGACTCCCAGAATCGCAGCATGACCGTCGAGCTCCTCGTGGAAGCTGCGAAGAAGAACTGCAACAAGCAGTTTATCTTCGTTACCCCGAACGATCTGAGGTACGAGTCTGGATTTGATAGCGCTGAGTTGTGCAAGACTGACAGGTTTTTGTGGTTTCTACAGCATGCTGAGACCGGATCCGGTGGTGAAGATCCAGAAGCTGGCCCCTCCGAGATATCGAGCTGCGTCGGCAGGCGCACATGACGTTGATATGGATGGAGTGGCCTGAGCGATAACGATAACAAGCTTCACAGAGATTTTCATGATTATCTAGTTTGCTTTTATCGGTTTGAGCGGCCTAGAGCCTTAGTAAAAGCGACAGGAGCGGTCTAACGGGTCAGCATCTCAGCTTTGCTAGTCGCTACACTGCACCGCAGCTCCATTTCATGCGTCCAATGCGTCCAACGAACTCATACGCGCAATAGAAGTCTGATGCAAGTTGAAGCGGCCTGGATGACGAATTACTGGCCAAACCGAATACCCTTCCTCTATATTTACAATTCTGCTCAATTCGCGTAAACCAGTACTCTAATTGTCGCAGGTATTAATCAAAATAAAACGCTGAAACCTGTTTCATTATTGCAGTTAAAATACTTTCCTTATTGCGATATCAAGATAAAGAGACTATTGTGTCTCGTTTTGGCGCCATCCCGCTGTCATAAGTCGAAGCAAACGGTCGAGTCCGCACTCGCTGTCCGTGGCCGCCGCCTCGGGTCCTCTACTGCTCCACCCACGGCCGCTTTGCCGCGCACGACGCACCGCAGCATCTAGGCGCTGTGATGGCGCTGCTAACGAGCCGTCGATCGCGTGCCAAGGCGCAGAAGACGCGCCACAACGACCCGGAAGCCTCCACTACCAGCGAGACCGAGGACGAAATGGACACTTTAATCGCGGACAACGCGGACGACTACGTAGACGATGACGTTGCTGTAGGCAATAAGCGCCGCATGAAGACGTCGTCCACGCAGTTGTCCCAAATGGACGCCCACATCGAGACCGAGATGGGCGTCGTGGAGGAAATTTACTGTGAGAATTTCATGTGCCACCGCAAGTTGCGCGTCTCCTTGTGTCCGAACATTAACTTCATCACTGGCGAGAACGGCAGCGGCAAGAGCGCCATCATTGCTGCCATCCAGATCTGTCTGGGCGCCAGTGCGCGCAGCACACATCGCGGTAAGAGCATTAAGAACCTCATCCGCCACGGCCACGAGGGTAACGCGCTGGTGCGTATCACGCTGCGGAATGACGCTAAGGGCAGCGACGCCTTCCGTCCCGAGCAATTCGGCCGTAAGATTCAGGTTGAGCGACTCATCCGTCGAGACGGATCAGCCGAGTACAGACTCAAGGACGAGAGTGGAGTGCTGGTGTCCAAGCTGAAAACGGACTTGGACGCGATGCTGGATCATCTCAACATCCAGACGGAGAACCCGTGCGCCATTCTGGACCAGGAGAACGCCAAGCTGTTCTTAAAGGGCAATCCGCAAGACAAGTACAAGTTCTTTCTACAGTCTACAGATCTGTACAAGATGCGGACGACGTACTCGAAGATTGACGAGGAGACGAGGAACATTGCAGAGACGACGCTGAAACGAGAGAGAGCCAAGATCTCGACGTTGAGAGAGGCCATGGAGGAGGCCAAGAAGCAGTGGAAGGAGGCCCAGAGTGTGAGTGATGGAGGTTGTGGTTTTATCATTAAGGGGCTTATATTGTGGTGCTTTTTTTTGACAGATTGGGAAGCTGGAGGAAGAGTTTGAGGTGCTGAAGAAGGAGCTGGCGTGGTCGTTTGTGGCCGAGAAGGAGAATTTGGCTGCAAAGATGGAGAAGAAGATGAAGAGAAAGAAACGCGAAGCTGAGCATGCTGCTGGCGAATATGAAGAGACGAAGGAGGCGGTCGACAATCTGGAGCGGAAGCAGAAAGAGAAGAACGACAAACTTGAGGAAGTGAACGCTCGTATGAGCGAAAATAGCCAAAGGAAGACGGAGGTGAAGAACCGGATCCGTGAAGCTCGGCGTCCGTTGCACAACTGCAAGGCGGAGCTGAAACACTTGACGCAGTCCAAGCAACGCGCCAATCAGCGCCTTGCACGTCTGCAACACGACTTGCAAAAGAAGCGCGAGAACCACGAAGCCATGTTGCACAGCCGTATGCAGCGCAACGATGCAATGCGTGAACGTATCGAGATGAAGCGTAGAGAGGTGCAGGATGCGGAACATGAAGTCAATGAAGCCAAGGATCGTGCGCAGGCGCGTCCCCAGGAGCTGGATGAAGTGGAGAATCGGCACGAGAACTGCGTCCGCCAGTTGCGTGAGGCTGATGCTGAGGCTGCCAAGACCCAGCACCGGATCAATCAGCTACGGGGCCAAAAGCGCGACAGTCTGGCAGTATTTGGCAGCAGGATCCCGCAGTTGCAGCAGCTCATTCACCAGAACCGCCACCGCTTCTCCGAACCTCCCATTGGACCGCTTGGCCTCCACGTGAAGCTTCCTGAACGGTTCATGCACTTCGCTGTGGCTATCGAGGTGGCGTTGAAGGGCACATTAGGGAGTTACTTGGTGGTTAACGGCCGAGACAAAGCTCTGCTGGATGACCTGAAACGCCAAGCTCACTGTCCGCAGAACCAGGCCAACATCATTATTTCACAGCGCAATGGACGCCGATACAGCAATTTGCGTCTTGCAGAGGGAAATCTAGCAGCTCACGCGATCTGCAACATTCTCGAGGTGAACGATGACGAGGTTTTCAACGCTTTGGTTGATGTCTGCAGCTCAGAGAGTAAACTGTTGTTTGATGATCGGCAGTCGGCTGAGCAAAGCGTGCTGAGTGGCTCGAGTGGTAACTTCAGGATGGCTCGGTACGTGTCCGAAGTGTACCTACCAAACGGAGACAAGTTTGTTGTTCGCTCTGGCAACTTGGCATTCATCGCCAACAAGGGGAATCGCCGCAGTTCTATTATCTGCCAAGATGTTGAGGGTGAGATCACGGAGCTGGAGAAGAAGATGGACTACTTGCAGGGCAATCTGGAGGTGTTGCGTCGTGACGAGGCTCGACTGAGACGTGACCGCGAAGACTTTCGACACCAGATGAAGCAGCAGAATGACCGCATTGACTACTTGTCTCGTCGGTTTAACCAGAAACGTGCAGAGTTGCGCAGTCTTGAAGAGGAATTGTCAGATGATATGCAGCAGAACACGCTGGATACTTCTGTGCTGGAGGACGAGGTGAGGTCTGTCCAGGATGAACTGGAAGATTTCCGCCGTCGTGAACAGGAGTTGAACGAGATCTTGTCCAAGTCCAATCCAGATTTGGAGGGCCAGCTGCATGAACTTGAGGAACTGGACGAGATGGAGAAGAAGATCGCTGCCGAGATGAATGAATACCAAGAAGATGCAGACGCTATCTATAAGCATCTTAGCGAAATGAAGGTACAGGAGATGACGTACCAGAAAGAAGCAGCAGCGCTGCGTGAAATGGTGGAGCGATGGGAGGACGAGCTGGCTGCTCTTCAGGAAGAGTGTGAAGAACAGAGACAAAAGGCACAACAACATTGCGAACGAGTGGCTGTCCGACACTCACACGATTACTATGGAAAGCGGTTAACAGACATTAAGCGCCAGATCGATCACGAGCGTAGCCGGTTCGAAGGCATGGATCTCGCTGAGCTGAGGGACGATTTGGAGGCCAAGAAGCTCAAGTATCGGAACAAAAAGAAGAACTTCGACAAGTTCCGAGACAATCTCGAGCGTATTCGCGCGATGCTGGAGGAACGCAAGCGAGTGTGGCAAATCCTACGCAAGGAGATCGCTCATCGGACGTCCATGGGGTTCAACAGGTTCATGGAGCTCAACAACTTCGCAGGCAAGCTCAGGTTCCGGCATGACGACCAGCGACTCGAGATTGCTGTGCTGCAGAACGAAGTGGGCGCCTCTCGAGCGTCGCAGGTGACGGATATGAAGGAGCTGTCTGGAGGCGAGCGGTCTTACACGCAAGTGTCTCTGCTGCTGGCCCTCGGCGAGAGTATCGAGTGTCCGTTCCGAGTGATGGACGAGTTCGACGTGTTCATGGACTCAGTAAACCGGGATATGACTATCCAACTACTCGTGGATGCGGCCAAGAAGGACAGCAAGAAGCAGTTTATCTTCGTGACGCCTAATGATCTCAGGTGCGGTGCTGGCTCCCTAGTGTTTTATAGTGTTGCGGCTCACTAATTTACGCTCTTTTGTTGTTTTCTGCAGTGCATTGCGGCGTGATCCGATGGTGAAGATCCAGAAGATGAACCCGCCTCGGGATCGACTGAATGCGGAGCGAGACTAAGGCATAAGAAGAGGAGGTATTACGGCAAGGACGTATCAGTATAACCACGCCTTGCTGACAGCGTGCAGTGAGTAGGTAGTATCAGTAGTAGGGAGCAGGCGACCGTCGCCTTGCTGGCATTTATTGACAAACACATTTTCACAGTTGTTTATACGGACTTGGAGTATAAATTCTTCAAATATTCATTCAACCTAGACTGATGCATCCAACCAGTTGTAGCCTGTCATTCGCCACAACGATCGTCAGTGCGATGCATCCCGGTAATTATCGTTTACTTCTCGGCCTCCGTGAGCACCTCCTTGATGATCGATGTGCACTCATCAAGCTGCTTCTCGGTCATCACAAGTGGCGGTGCGAGTCGGATGATGTTGCCGTGCGTAGGCTTGGCCAGAAGCCCCTTCTTGACCAAGTTCATGCAGAGCTGCAAGGCGTCCGGCTGGTTCGGACGCTCGTTGATGATGATTGCGTTCAACAGACCGCGACCACGCACGCCTTGAAGCAAACTCGACTTGAAGCTGGGAATACAAAGAGTGTTAGCAGCCTGCAACAATTAATATCGCGCTGGTAAAATGCCGCCACGTACTTCTGCATCTCGGAGCGGAACTTGTTGCCGAGCTTGAAGGCGTTTTCTGCGAGATTCTCCTCCTGAATCACCTCCATAGCCGCCATAGCGACCTTGCAGCCGAGCGGGTTGCCGCCGTACGTGGAGCCGTGTTGACCAGGCTTGATCGTAAGCATGACCTCGTGACTCGTCAGCACAGCTGAGACCGGGTACATGCCACCGGACAGAGCCTTGCCCAGAATCACAATGTCTGGCTTGACGCCTTCATAGTCCACCGCCAGCATCTTACCGGTACGTGCCAGACCAGTCTGCACCTCATCGGCGATCCACAGCACGTTGTACTTGGTGCAGAGGTCGCGAACGCGCTTGAGGTAGCCATCGTCAGGCACGACTACACCAGCTTCGCCTTGGATGGGCTCGACCATGAAGGCAGCGATGTTCTTGCCCTCCTTCTTGAAAACCTCCTCAAGTGCATCAGCATCGTTGTACGGGATGCTAGCGAAGCCAGGCATGAACGGACCGTAGCCTCCATACGCCTCCTTGTCGTTAGAAGACGACACAGCACTCAGTGTACGACCCCAGAAGTTGTTCTTGGCGAAAATGACCTTCGCCTGGTTCTCCGGGACGCCCTTGACGTCGTAGGCCCAGCGACGTGCGAGCTTGACGGCCGTCTCGCCACCTTCCACGCCCGTGTTCATGGGCAGGATGCGGTCGAAGCCCAGGAGATTCGTCATGTACTCCTGGTATTCACCCAATACATCGTTGTAGAAGGCGCGAGAGGTCAGTGTGAGTGTCTGCGCCTGCTCCGTCAAGGCCTTGACGAGCTTGGGGTGGCAGTGGCCCTGGTTCACGGCCGAGTAGGCGCTCAAGAAGTCGTAGTACTCCTTGCCTTCCACGTCCCAGACTTTGCAACCGCGGCCTTTGTTCAGCACCACGGGCAGCGGGTGGTAGTTGTGCGCACCACACTTTTCCTCGCGGTCAATGTACTGGAGATGGCAATAGACATTAATAAGAGTATCCTTTAGCACAGTGCTTTGACAAGGATGAAAGTGGAGAGCGAGCTCACCTGCTGGGTGGTCCACACGTTGCGTGTAGACTGGTTGCGTAGTTTGGAGGCAGCAGGACGGAGCTTCTGCACGGTGGTGAAGGCCTTCATAGCTGTGGAGACTGGAGCTCGAGACTTGGGCTGAGGCGGTCGAAATGGATAATGAGAGCTATGTTCGCATGCGGAAAAGCGTGCCGAGCTCGGACTTAAGCTCGGTAAAGTACGATTTGTGGGCCAATTGAAGAACAGGGATGAGAACATACAAAGTTCAAGTTATTCAATTACTTGGGATAAGTAAAGATTACAAAAAACAAGTACAAAGTGGGGCTCGTTGCTCGGATTAAGTACGCGAACTTATCAGCTCGATATAATTAATACCCTAAACCTACTCACTTCAACTTAGAGCTTATCGAAGATTGTTGCCATGGTGTGACGGAGTTGCAGTTAAGCAGCACTGCTTCATGAATAACCGGGGTGCATTTAGCTCGATAGATTAAATCAGGCGAGCGTGGCTCGAATAGCCAAACGTCTTAGCGTGCAACTCAGTCGTTGACGTCGTGATGTAGAGGACGAAGATCCGATCAGCTGCATAATATTAAATCATACAGGTTTTATGAGAGACTTTATGAGAGACTTCCCAGATGGCATGGCGATCGTCAACCACGTTGCATGCTGGGGTCTATGCCAGCCACTCGCTGCGCTGAGTTGCCGAAGCACCGCTGTGAAGTCCTTGGATAGGGGGATAGGGAGGCGAGGTATTCAATCCCGGTGGCGACGAGACGAGGCGAGCGCTCTTCATCTCGAGCGATTAGAGCAGCCGCGTAACAGCCAGGTCAAATTTAGTGGCGTCGACACTAGGCTCTGACTGAAAGCACGGCTAGGTGATGTTATTTGCCTCGCCGTCTGGTATTGGATGCGAAGCCATGTGGAGGAGCAGTACTGTACATTAGGATCGTTCTGCCAGCACGATCCTAATGTGGCGCTTATGTGAACGATTTTTGGATAGGATTGTTCGGTAAAGCCACTTAGTTTGGTGCTAATAGAGCCTCGATGACGACCTGGGGTCTTGAACATGACTGATTAGTCACTGAAGTCCAGGTTGGACTCCAAGAACTCGTGCTGCACCGTACTGACAACCTTGCAGTGCAAGATCAACCGTAGACGGTCCTGTTTTCGTCCACACTGGTCGATTGGACAAACCCGAATGGTGCGGCACATCAAGCAGTGCTTGTGCTCATCAGGCTTACCGTGTTCTTCGACAACTTTTCGTGGTTTGCCTACTGTGTCTCAAGACTAAAACATTACATGAATACTAGAAAACGATAGTTTCTGGGAGGGATATCTGTACAAAAATCCGGATAAGTTAACCTTGCGGATATTGGAGCATTTTAGATGCCCCGATACTTAACTCCAGTGAAGTTATGAGGTGGGCCCTTTACTCCAAGAAGTCTATTTTGGAGTAACGCTTCGTAACCTCAAATAGCTCCAGTTCATCAGGAGCGCTGGGTAACACAAGGACGAGACTTTACTCCATGAAAAAAATTGAGCACACCATTAATGCAAGCATACAATGAGCTACGTCTACCCCAAGAATTTGTTGGTGTTTCATGATTGCAGCCAGCGAGGTTGTTATCGTGGAGAAATAAACGCGACAAATCTTACTGCTGTAAATGCCGTTTCATTGTGAGCACAAATTGCGTTCCACGCATCCTTTACGTAGTGGGATAAATGTCATGGCTAATTACCGACACCGCAGTCAGGTTACAGACGATCTTCTCGGTATTGATATCTTCAATAGTGATTCCATCTACTGTAGATAAATTATCTCGCTAGTGCAAGATCGACTAATGAAAAATTCAAAGCGAGCTGTCATTCAGATTCCCCTCACCCAACTAATACAACCGGTGGAAGGCAATCGTATTAAGTACATTAATTATCAGAATGGCTCACAAAAACAAACCACCTCGGCACTACAATTGCAGGTCCCAGGCAAACCGAAAGGAGTGCATGATAAAAAACAATGTGAGTTGTAGGGCTATGCTACAAATTAGCCCCAATAATCTGGTGTCCAGCGCAAGCTTTGCCTTACGGATTGCATCAACATGAAAACATTTTTTTTTCTTGAATTAAAGGTTCATTGAGATGGGTTATAGAGCAATCAAACGTTTACCGAATAAAGAGACCTGTGCATTAAAGTACTCATAATTCAGAGTTTTACTCTGAATTAAAACTAGACGCGCTCGCATTGGTCTGGGAGGACAGTGCCTTTTTCGGTTTTGGTGACTTGAGCGTCGGGTAAAAAATATAAGCGCACCAACGCCAAAAATCAACACGGAAAAGTGATGGTGCGGGCTCCCCGCGCCGCTTGGACAAACGCCGATTTTGAGGTATTATTCACGTGATAGTTCTCCATCGTTTTGTGTGTTGACTTGTTATTACTGATAACGCTCAGTAAAGTCGAAAACTTCGATGTGTGGTGCAAATCACTCAGCAAGTTAAAAACATATTAACTTCACGTACATGTTGGTTGATTATTTTTGCCGGTGATCGGCTGAACATCAAGTGCCTCGGACGAAAGCATGAATTTCATACGTGATTTTTTGTCGATCCTGCTTATTTTACACGGGGTTTCATCCGTGTTTGCGAGAAGTGAGCGGGTGCGAGCACGCGTAGCAGCAGTAAACCGGCGCGATATTTGCGGAGGCGGGCCCAGCGCCGGGCTCACTAGCAAACGGACCCGTGGCACTCTCCAGATCATGTTTTACTCTGCTGCGGGGTCAGTGGGTGCAACCTTCAGAGTGGATGCCATCAATTTCAAAGCTGTATTTTATCAGTTCATTTGGATTGGGATGAAAAGGCATTAAGTTTTCATTTAGGTCTGGCCTTCCTTACAACACTGGCGATTCTGCCGAGATACGTGTAAATTATTCTTCTGGCGGTTGTACGTGAATTTCATCCGAATCACAAGTGAAAACAATCCGGAAATCTGCTGCTTGCTGGTTGTTCAGCTCGGGGGTGCAAACAGCCGTCACGCAGCACTCTACCTATATACATGTAGTAACAACATTCACGCAACGCTAATTCACAGCTCATACATGCTAGATCGCTTGTGCTCATTCCGGGAGGGCTCACGGAAAAGTCGCGATTCCTGCAGCCATTTGAGACCTTTAGAATCCTTTTCCCATGATTCCAAACACTTTGGTAGTCTAGAATTTTAATGGTCTTAAATGGCTGCAGGAATTGCTCCAGTGAGTCTCAAACACAGTTTTTTTTTTTGGAAAACCTCAACGAATTCGCTGGAAAAAAAGGTTTAATAGCTTTTCCGCTTCAATAATTCCCCTGCCACAGTGAAATGCATCCGCATAGGGCGGCAACGACCTGTATCAGTGAAACTGTAGCTGCGGCAATGTTACGAGCGCAGCAAACGGGTTCACCGGGCAGATCGCTGGGCTCATACTGGGATGGCGAAGAAAAAAATAGCCGTTTGTGGCTTCTTGACATTGCGCTGAGGGTTTACCACGTCAGCCAATTATTCTTCTGCCAAGGCCCACCAAGCTCGACAAATGCATCCTGTATCCGTACATTGCTGCATCGGGTTCCTCAGCTGAAGATCATATGGCTAACCTATCTTCCAAGGTTTAAACCCATTTGACGCGGCACGCACAACAAGTTGAACGAAGGTCATCCAAGCTGGAGTTTCTTGAAGGTCTCCTAATTTAGGAGACCTTCATTAGGAGTCCTAATATCACCTGTAACTCGGTGACATGCTGAACGATATGATGTCTGTGCTGCCCTGCAGGATACTCCGTATCCCTCCCGGTAAAACATTTTTGGTTCTACTAGATTTGGTATGTGGACTATTAATTGGGCACACCCCGATCGTGCATGATCGCAAACCAAGTGACCATGTGGTGGTGACACCACCTGCATCGACAATTGTGTGTCATACACCACATTGAATGCGTGCAAACCTACCCATACAAATCTACCCCATCCTTCGCGCACCTGCAACTCACTTGGCCCAAGCAGCACAGTGCGTCAGTATCAAAAGAGCTCTCCATCGACAATGGACCCCTCGGAGCGATTGCTCGACGCCAACCTGGAACGCGAGCTTGCCGACCTACATCTTGCTGGGCCGCTGGACCCTGGCTTCCCACCTCATCTGATGCACTCGGACGTGATTGCTGCGGCCGCCAAGGCCTCCACAGACGCTGACGACGGCGACGTGCCGAGTCCGGACGAGGACGAGACCGAAGAGGCCAGCGAGCGCACGCACCACGAAGGGCTCCTCAAGGCTTCCATCCTCGAGAAAGTGGCCACCGAGAAGCGTCTGCGTCGCCTATCCGAGGTGTTTGTGGACGACGGACACGACCAGAGCGCCGACTCGGACCCGGTCGATCTGTTCGAGAAGATCCCGGAGCCCTACGGACAGCTGTCCTCGTACCAGAGAATCCAGATCACCTCAGCCCCCGAAGAAGTCGACAGAGAGACCAAAGAGGTCTGCGAACTCATCCGCAAGTGCCTGGCACTACGCAAGAAGTGGATCGCGGTCAACGAGCCGAAGATCGCGGATCCAGTCGAGACGGAGGTGCAGACCAGTCCACGCTCGGCTGGCGCGGCGGCCAAGCTGCGACACCGAGAGGAAATCCCGTATGAACCGTTTAAGAACGCAGTACCGGAGACCACGAGCCACCACTTCATAATGGTGGACGGAGTGGTGGTCGTGTACGAAGACAAGGACGCAGTCGAGCCTATCAGTCGCGTTGGCAAAATGGAGGAGTACTACAAAGATCTGTTCGAGATCAAGCGTATTATCAACTTCGGACCGGTAAAAACGCTGGCGTTTAAACGCTTACAGCTGCTCGAAGCGCGTTTTAACCTCCACACACTGCTGAACTCTGAACGCGAGCTCGTAGCGCAAAAAGCCGTGCCCCACCGTGATTTCTACAATGTGCGGAAGGTTGATACACACATCCACCACTCGGCGTGTATGAACCAGAAGCATTTGCTGCGTTTCATCAAGTCGCGGCTGCGTAACTCACCGGGAGAGATCGTGATCTTCCGCGACGGCCGCTTCATGACGTTGAGCGAGGTTTTCAGGTCTCTGAACCTCACGGGATACGACCTAAGTGTTGACACGCTGGATATGCACGCGAGCAACACGTTTCACCGCTTTGACCGCTTCAATTTGAAATATAACCCAGCGGGACAGAGTCGTCTGCGTGAGATCTTCCTCAAGACGGACAACCTAATTGCTGGCAAGTATCTGGCTGAGATCACGAAAGAGGTTATCTCGGATCTACACGCTAGTAAGTACCAGCTCGTGGAGTGGCGTGTGTCTGTCTACGGCCGCAAACGCTCGGAATGGGATAAGCTGGGTCGCTGGATCTACGTCAACAAGCTCACATCTCCACACGTCCGCTGGATGATCCAGATCCCGCGACTCTACTTCCTATACAAGAAGCTGGGCGAAGTGGACAACTTCCAGCAGATGCTGGACTACATTTTCCTGCCGTTATTCGAGGTCACTCGTGATCCCTCGAGTAATCTACCGCTGCACTATTTCCTGGAGACTATGGTGGGTTTCGACTGTGTAGACGACGAGAGCAAGGCGGAACCGTTTCGTGCTGAACGTGGTAAGAAGCTACCGAAGCCTCACGAGTGGACTCACGAGGCCAACCCACCTTACGACTACTGGTGCTACTACTTGTACGCCAACATTGCTGCGTTGAATGAGTTCCGTCGCCAGAAGGGCCTCAACATCTTCTCGTTCCGTCCTCACTCGGGCGAAGCTGGTGATCCGGACCATTTGGCTGCCGCTTATCTGACTGCAAACGGCATTAACCACGGTATCACACTGCGGAAATCTGTGGCTCTGCAGTACTTGTACTATTTGACGCAGATCGGTATTGCTATGTCGCCGCTGAGCAACAACCGCTTGTTCCTGGCTTACCACCGCAACCCTTTCCCGATCTATCACGCGCGTGGCTTGAATGTGTCGCTCAGTACCGACGACCCCGTCATGCTGCATTATACAAAGGATCCGTTGCTGGAAGAGTACTCGGTGGCTGTGCAGGTGTGGAAGTTGACATCTACAGACATGTGCGAGATCGCACGCAACTCGGTGCTCCAGTCTGGCTTTGAACACAAGTTCAAGCAACACTACCTTGGACCCAAGTACACGCTGCCTGGCTCACGTGGCAACGGTGTGTTCCTGTCTTGCTCTGTTTTACTGTGTTTTTATCTTACTCCAATCTTTTTTTTTTTTTTTTTTTTTTTTTTGCAGATATTCGCATGACCAACGTGCCGGATATCCGTGTAGACTATCGCCACGAGACGCTCCAGGGCGAATTAGCGTTCATCCAGACGTAATCTCACCTTCATGTGAATGTTGTAGCTCGACTGTCGAGTTTGTCAGCGATCCAAGCCAAGCAATGAAGATGAGTTCTGACTAAGTTTATCGTTTACTTCTTCCCTTCGCCCTTCATGTTTGGGTATGAAAATGCAGGAACACGAAGTGGCCGAAAGCAAGCAGTAACGAGAGTGCTTCGATGTGTGTTGCAGCCTCACAGAGTGAGCGCAAAGCCGGCGAAGACACGCACATGGCGCTGACACCGGCCGTAGCGAAGAAGAGCGTTGTGAGGACGAGATTCTTGGAGCCTAAGTACGCTGGTACTCGTTTCCACTGAGTCGGCCAGGATTCACAGAAGTAAACTTGATATGCTCGACTAAAGATTAAATTGGTGATACAGAGGGAAGCATATCGCGCGATAAACAGCGCGTTCAGGAATGATGCTGTCATTTCGCCATGGAGAGCGGATCTTGTACGCGACGCTGAGGGTACTGTGCCTGTTAAACTACGGTGGGGCGATAGCACTTCGTGCAGACACGTATGGGCCATTTTCCAGCAGAACCAGCTGAGGATGCAAAGGCACAATGTGGAGATGGTTTGGTTCTTGGAGAGCACTCGTCGTCGGAGCAGGAAGAACACCAGACCACACTGCAGTCCGAGCTTACAAAGATGCATCGGCACCTCTGTGGAAGCAGCGGATGCAACCTGAGTAGCAAATTTGGACTCTCCTTGCAGTGCCGAGGGAGACTGGGGCTGCGCTTGAGTCAGAAGCTGCTCTAGCACGAGCAAATCTCCACGCGAGTTTAAGCTCTCGAGCCATCGAAGTACACTCATGAACCCCCGACGGGTTTGGAAGGATGACGAAGGGAACGCAGTATGTTTGAGCTCGTGGAACTCGAGCGTTGGGACGTCCAACACCGTATAAAGGTATCCAGAGCCGCACGCCATCGTCATAACCAGGAGCGGCAGGCGATACTTGTACTTCAAGACGGACGTATCTTGGGCGGAGAGACTCATTGTAATGCAGGGGAGGAGACAGCGCCACTCAGCAAAGGACAGGAGTTTGCGTGCGTCTCTTGAAGCAGAAGATCTACCCATTCCCACTCAGATTTACTGCCGTATCGTCGTAGTAACAAGGGTCGCTTACTCGTAAAAGGGTCACGAAAATATTAATGGACGCGGCAAGCGGCGGAAAAAGTATCAGCGAATCGCAGTAGAGTACTCGCACAAACTGGAGGTACAGACCTCGATGAAGCAATTGTGCACTTCTATGGTGAACTACCGAAAGATCCGAACACTTTTCAAGCTAAATAGTATATGCAAAGATGAAGCTGCATTTACTATAAATAGGAAGTGCTCAGATTATTCCGACTGTAGGCATAATTTTGATTTGGTGAAATGCTGTGCCTATCAACCAATCATTTTAAATTGCTTCAGCGCGCCAAGGTGCCGCCAACAAGTTGCCGCCAATTCCCATGGTCTTGTGCTGCCACCGCATTTCGTTTTTATTGGGCAACCTGGTGGTGACGTCGAAAAGGAAGTGAAGTCTTACGTCCCGCCGCATGTGGCAACATGCTCCGTTCAGGAAAATGCGTGGTTCGACGAGAGGGTTATGTTAGAATGGATAGAAGATTCGTTTAGACCTAACGTTGACGGTTACTCTGTTCTGTTACTCGATGCTCTCAAGACTCATAAGATGGTCAGCGTTTAGGGTGATCTGGGTGGGATGGGGACTAGCGTGCATTACGTGTCTCCCGGATGTACCGGGATTGCTCAGTCTCTGGATGTCGGAGTGATGGCGCCGCTGAAGACACGCCTGCTGCAGACGTGTGGACAAGCTGCCGTACTAAACACATTACCAGAGAACTCCGCGGAGCGCAGACGCTACATGTTCAACCACGCAATGCTCGCTCTCGGCAAAATTACACCCAAGTACGAGATACAATCCGTTGCAGCTTGTTGTTTGAGCTGACACTTGCTACGTGGCGTGCAAATTGGTGGATGGTGCGACAAGTTAGCAACGGCTGAACAAGACGATCACTTCGGCTACAACTATATGACTATACTGAGAGCAAGAGTAAATTGAAGGAACTGCATGCAGCAGTTAGTTGAGGTCGGACAGAAGAGAAGACAACAGAGTGATGGTTGTGAGTTGAAGTCGTGGGCATGGGAAGATTATTGACCAAAGAGAATTTTCTAGGGGACGAGTCGTCATCTGAAGTTTAAGGTCGTTAGCTTCCTGCTGCGAGAAGCAGCCTGCAGTGCTCACTAGGACTAAGAGGGGTTTTCTGTCTGGGAGACTTTCCCCTCAGTGAAACACAACATCACCAACAACTGAGAAATAAATACCTCACTTTCCTACTTGCCACAAAACACTCACAACAACTTTCCTTCCACCACTTCCTACCAAGTCATCTACTAAGCCTAGTGCCGAGCATACGAGATCACTGCAATAAGGTCTCGTAGGTTATGAGCCCAAAGCTCCACTGGGCTTCAGTATCAAGTGCGGTTATTTCGGAAAGAAGCAACAATGTCTGGTGCTGGTCAGCAGGGACAACAACAAGCAGCTGGTCAACAAGGAGGAGCTCAACCTGGGGGTGTAGCTCGAGTAGGTCTTCGCGGCACGAATAAGCCTCCTCAATACTCAGAAGACGGTGGGTTTGATCTCTATAGAGCACAGTTACGCTCATTTTTGACACAACGAGAATGTTGGGGTATAATCACTGGTGATATTGTTCGAGATCAAAATGATGCTGCTCAACAGCAAATCTACGATGAGAAGAATACGTTCGTGTGTGATACGCTGTTACGAGGATTACTACAAAAGGACTCGCGGAAAATTTACCAATCACTTATCTGAAAAGAACGTAGGATGGGTGACCTACGCAGTATGACGAAAGAGGATTGGTAGTTATTATATGCGTCGCGTGACATGATTGGTAGTAACTATGGGTTATCGGAACCTCTTTGGCGTTTGTCAGCACTCTGAGCTTCACGGACTAAGCGCAGTACGGTGGGAAGTGATAGATCTGCTAGGCGGCGTTTGTGTTTTGCTGGAGGTAATTGGAGCTTTTCGATAGCAACACTAAATATCTCGGATGCTTCTTTCTCTGTTGGCTGTGTAGAAATTGCTAGTCCAGCTGCTGTGGCCGCCTCCGTTAGATGTTTTATCATCATGACCCAATCTGAGAACGTCTTGCGCATGCTGCGCTTTGGCAAGTCGTGTGGATGGATTTTTTTCAAAGGAGGCCATCCTCGTGATTTGTCCCCAAACCACCATAATTGCCATGCCCCGCAAGGACCCGTACGGGGGAACTCAAATTCCTCTGGCAGTAAGTGAAATTTCCCACTGTAATAATACACTTGATCACCATCTGAATGCTGCACTGGTTGTGGTGCATGACTCATTGCTCCTTGCGCAAGGCCTGCCCGTAACAGTAAGGATTCAATTGTAGCTTCCAGTACCTGGTTCGTGATATTGCCGGCAGCTACACCCTTCTCCTCTATTAAATTGGACATGCCTTCAAGTAGAACTGGAGGCAGGTTATCAATTGATGTCTGCACTTGCCGTAGCTGCTTGTAGAGCTCTACGTGGGGAGGTACTCCTGTTGGCTTCATCCAGGTTGATGTGTCGCGAACAAGAGCTGCTTCAAGGTGGTTCATCATGTCTGGGTACCGGAACAAGAATGTCGACAGCAGTGGATGAGATGCAGGTATTAACTCCCTTAAGTACGAGTGATGATTAACCAGCGAGGCGATACACAGCTTTAGAATGTCCTGTAACGTGCTGCATGCCCTTAACATTGGGAACATTTCCTCCACACACTTCTGCAGATTAACGTCTTGGTTATTTACAAAGTGAGGCGGCAGCACAGCAAAGTCGGCCAGGTTCAGTGGCAGTCCTGCCACGACACGTCCTAAGTATTGATCTCCAGCCGACTCATAGCGAATATAACGATCCTGAACGCCCCCCAATGACCATCCAACTCTCAAACACACACTTGCTATCGAAGGACCGCCAGTTGTCCCGCTACATGCAAAAGTCGCCACGCCTTTGCAAATAGAATGCGTTCCGTAATGTGTCTGGCCAGTTTTGGCATTTATCAGTTGACGGAGGGTGTTGCCAAATCGAACTTTTTGATTGGAGCCCGGGAATAATGGACCTTTTGGCTGCGTAGGACGGCACGCCAAGTAAATTGCTAGTGCAGTTATCCAGCAAGTATCAGGGCTGTACGGGTTGGCATACAGGTGCCGAGGGTCCTTGGGTCCTCCACCCTCTTGATTCGTCTTTGATTTATACATAACGCAGCCCACACTATCGTCAATGCCACTGAGAAGCTGAGTACAGAGCGTCTGCACTGATTCCGACCGGCACATTAAGTTCCATTGTGTACTTAGAAAGAAGTGAGAAAACCCTGCATCTTGGCGCACAAGCGTAGCTTTGCATAGCTGCTGATAGAGTGAGTACGGAAGAGGCTCTTTTCCAGATTCTTTTGGTGCACCGGACTGATATTTAGTTGCTTGCATGTGCTTAAGTCCTGAAAAAAGTGTAGCCATCTTCTTCTCAAATGTATTTGGTAGGGGGACATCTTGGCGTCGATACAAGTCTTTCAGCGCGCTGCGATACCGTTGAGCGTACTGACGCCCACAGTCTTCCTCTTCTCCATGAGAAACGAGTCAAACTCATCCAGAGTGAAGTGGTCCAAGTCAATATTACCACTAGGGTCAAAGAAAGTAGGTGCTTGCTCCATCTTCGTATCACGAATCCACTTGGACATCGCACGAAGGCTGCTGCGATATGATTGCTGGGTCTTGACTGAAATGCATGCGTCCCGGACATCCTTTGCTGTCACCTCTAGAGTTTCTGCAGCGCCTTCGCCGTCCATGATGGTGCCTGCCGTTGAAGGGGCTTCTCTCCGTTGAGGACTCCGTGTTTTGCGGGATCTCCTGAGTGACCCCAAACACCGGAAATTAGCCAATGGCGGCTCTGGTTATGCATTGGATAGCTTGCCAACGATTTTTTTATCATACACTGCAATACGATAGAACATACAAAAGTTAAGATAACCTGTGCCTTACAATTCTGCATTTTGAAAGAAACATGGCTCAAAATCCTACGATCTCATACAAACTCCTATATACGTCCGACAAATATCGGACACTCTGGGTTAGAGATGTGGCGAGCGTTTGAGGCAGATAAAACCAAACGAGCTTTCGCTAGTGTGATACGAGTGAGACGAAAACTTTATACGAGCACGTTTACGCTTGGAGGTAACATGGAGCAATGGTTGGATGAAGTGGAGGATCTCCGTCGCCAGTTGGAGAATATGAACGAAGTGATCACTGACCGTGAAATGGTAAACATAATCCTGCAAGGTGTTGAAGAAACACATCGTAATGTGGTGCGAATTTTCAACCAGCCTCAACCAGGAGGTCAACCTGTAACTTTGGACCTGGTCCTTAACACATTGCGGGGAGAAGCTGAGACAGACAAAGCTCATGAGGAAGCCAGGGAAACTCCAGCTGGCGTTAGTGCTGATGTCAAGAAGGTGATGTCGATGCGGCCCCAAATCCAAAATCAGTCGGGAAATAAGAGAAAAAAGGGAAATGGTGGACAGAATGTTGGTAACAAAAAGGCGAAAATAGGTACCAGTAACAAAACGTGCTGGTTCTGCCACAAGAAAGGACACTTGAGGCATGAGTGCTTTGGCTACAAGGCACAACAGAGGAGAAGAGCAGAGGCCGCAGATGATAGTACAACTACTACGACAGGAGCTACTTCTAGTGATACTGCAACAATGAATATGGTACGGCGTGCCACTCAGCCAGTAGAGCGAATTGGCATGATGAAAGAATCCGTTCATATTCATAGACTCACAAGTGAAGTTACCCAAACGGAATGGATGATGGATACTGGTGCTGCTACTCACGTATGTGTGGAGAGGCAAGCTTTTGTGAACCAAACTGTTGATAACACGCAGTTCCAAGACTGGGAAGGTGCAATTAGTGTTGGAAGGCCATTTGGGCGTGTGCTGATTTGCGCCAAGAACGTGAACAATCCTAGCGGCAGTGGTACCATAGTTGACCTACAAGGCACTAGGTTTGCTTCAAAAGGAACGACCAACATACTATCGCAGTACAAACTAGAGAAACTTGGATGGGTTTCTTCATACACTGATGACCAGGATCCTGACAAGCGAGCTATGTTTATGGATAAGGAGGGTGTCCGTCTAATTTTACCTCGGCGTGGAGCTCATTTTTGGCTCTCGGCAGTAATTGTGAATCCCAGTGAAGTGAATTTGTGCATGATGGTGCCCAGGACTAATGATGAAAACCTTTTACTGTGGCACATGCGTTTTGCACACCTTAATGGACCAGCTCTAAAGAAAATGGTAGATTTGGAGATGGTTAATGGGCTGTGTTCAATATCGGCGAGGGACTTCAAGAAGCCCATTGATTGTCACGCCTGTCGCTTAGCAAAGAAGAAGCGAATGTCCTATAAGTTGCAACAAATCGGCTCCAGACTGATGTCCGATGTGTGTTACGTCGGAATCGAGACTCCTGGAGGAAATAAGTATTTTCAGTTGGTTCATGATGAAGCTTCTCGATTCACCTAGGCGTTCCTATTACAACGCAAGAGCCAAGCTGCTGCCAACGTTATAGAAGTCATACGCAAGGTGGAAAAACGTTATCCAGTGCGAACTTTCTCATGTGACCAAGGTGGTGAATTTATCAATAAGGTACTGCTCGACGTCTTGCACGAGCGAGGAATCGCTTTACTGACTACAAACCCGTATACGCCCGAGGAAAATGCTCTAGTCGAAAAAATGAACGGCAAATTGATGAGTAAGATGCGGGCTATACACGAGTCAAGCGGACTGCCGTTTTGTCTTTTAAGGGGAAGTACTTCTGTACGTGGTTGCCGTGGATAATATGAGTGGGACCAAAGCTTTAATGAATAAGACGCCGTACGAGATGTACGAGGGTAAGAAACCCGATGTGAGGCGCTTGTTTGTATGTGGATGTGTGGGATACTGCTTTGTACCAAGTGCACAACGCATGAACAAACTCGAACGGCGCTCACGTCCAGTATTAATGCTTGGGTTTTCTCTGCTCACAGATGGATACCGAACGCTTGACCTGGTGACGGGGGAGATGGTAATCCGACGTGATGTTGAGCGGCAAGAACGGATGACAGTAGATCGAGACTACGTGCAGCAACTACTTGACAAGCGGTACTGAAAAAAAGACAGTTCAGTTGCCTAAGGATATACCGTACGTCGTCCTACCAAGAGATGCTGCTGCTTACCATCCTTTGGCAATTGAAGGGGGAGATACTGGGTTTAAGAAACCTGCACCGCTTAGCAACACTGCCCCAGCAGAAACTGAAAGTTGTGACCAGGCAAGCAGTGATTCATTTGACGACGACGAGGATGTTGAAATGGAGGACCATAATTTGTGGGGAGATGCAAATGGTGTTGCTGTACCTGGAAATGCTGGGAGATATGTGTATGCGGGTCAACCTGCTAGCAATAACCAATCTGTTGCTGGGCGACCTGCTCCGACTAGTCAAGCTGCTACTAGCAACGGTAACGTGAGGACAGCAACCACTGCAACAGCTGGAAACCAAACTCGGGCACGTCGTCAATCCACCCAAGCCCCAACGCGGCGATCGTCACGGCAACGTCGTCCAAGCTCAAGATTCAATCCACAAACATTTGTAATGGCGATGATGCTAATGCAGTGTATGCTGATGGGTGTTGTTAATGAGATAATTAACCCCACAAGCGTCTCGGAAGCAATGGCTTCACCTTATGCGAAGCGGTGGAAGAAGGCTATGGGTGACGAGTACTCGTCGTTGATGAAGAACAATACCTGGGTTCTTGTTCCAAGGCCGAGGTCAACACCGGCCAACCCAATCAACATACTGAGATCATAGTGGGTTTTGGTAGTGAAGTGGAATGAAAAAGGCGGTGTTGACTGATTCAAGGCTCGTTTGGCAATCAAGGGGTTTATGCAGAAATACGGGATTGACTATTTAGCCACTTATCCACCTGTTGTGAGAGTTGAGTCCGTCAGACTGGTGATGATACTCGCCTTAATTTTTGGATTGGATCTGAGGCACATCGACTTTGTGACGGCCTTCCTGAACGGTAAACTGACGGACGTGACTATCTACATGGAACAGCCGGAAGGCTACGACGATGGTACGGGGCGCGTTTGCATGTTGCTCAAGGCTTGTATGGATTGAAACAAGCCTCAAGAATTTGGAGTGATACTCTAAAGAACTATCTCGTCGACCTGGGCTTTGTTCAATGCACATTTGACGTTGGTGTATTCTGGAGAGTGGGAGTGAAGAGCCTGATCATTTTGACAGTGTGTGTCGATGATATAATTATTGCTGCAAAGGCTGAAGACTACAAGATTGTGGTAGATGAGCTTGCAGCAAAATTTGAAGTAAAGGACCTAGGACGCGTGAAACATCTCCTTGGTATGGAAGTTTCATTTGAACCCGGTCGAATGATATCAATGGCTCAGACTGCTTACATTGAACGGATGGCTAAGAAGTTTGGATTGGAAGATGCACGTCCTGCCTCACCCCCTCAAATGCATAATGCACCTACGGTTCCATTGGAGAAGGATATGGCTAAGGTCAACGATCCCAATCTACCGTTTCGTGAAATTGTTGGATCTTTGCAGTACCTCGTTGCTTGTACTCGACCAGACTTGGCAAATGCAGTACGAACATTAGGACGGTTTGCAAATGTGTACACTATTGAGAACTACCGTGACGCGCAACGAGTGGTGCGTTATGCATTGACAGCCAAACATTATGGATTAGTGTATCGGGCCAAGGAAGGATCATTGCAATTAGAAGCATATGCGGATGCCGATCATGCCCGTTGTCCGGAGTCGAGCAAATCTGTTACGGGCTACGTACTCAAATTCAATGGCTGTATTTTTGACTGGAAGAGTAAAAAGCAGGCCAGGGTGACAACTAGTACTTGCAGCTCGGAGCTGCTGGCAGTGCACGCGTGCACCGAGATGGTGCTGAGGACGCAGAAGTTGTTGAAAGAACTGGGCATCAAAAAGAGTCGACTCTACAATTTATTGTGACATCCAAAGTGCGTTGAAGGCGATCGAGAATAATGGGAACTCTGAGCACTTGCGCAACTACGCTAAAGTGATTCGCTATGTTGCAGAGCATGTAACGGATGGAGATTTGGAGATGCAATATGTCCCAAGCACGGACAATCTTGCTGATATCTTCACAAAGGCCATAGGGCCTGAACGATTCACACACTTGCGAAATAGGCTAAGCGTGGAGGACACTAAACTTTGTTGATTGATGGCGTACAATGAGGCATGTAAGAGCTCTGGTGTCGATATGGATGTGGAAATCACGTCATAAGCCATTTGGTGAAACAAGTGTGCATTTATATGTGGAGCTTGTTGTTTGAGCTGACACTTGCTACGTGGCGTGCAAATCGGTGGATGGTGCGACAAGTTAGCAACGGATTGTATCCCGTACTCCCCCATCACTTCGAGCAGCAACATGCCCATGCATTCACGCACCACATATAAATGCACATTTGTTTCACCAAATGGCTTATGATGTGATTTCCACATCCATATCGACACCAGAGCTCTGGTAGCACTTGTTGGTCCGTGCGGAAATCTTTTGACAAGGCAGGGCCATTTTTTGGCTGCACCACGAGCACCGATGTTCAAGGCATGCTGGACGAGGCCAGTCTCCTTCACGTGGTGGATGAGCAGGGGGGTGATGTCGCGACTATCCGTGGAGTGATAACTGGTCAAGTTGAGGAGATCCAAGGCGAACGTATCAGCCTCTGAGCTTGGCAGCTAATGAAAACAGTTCATTGGTTAAAAATATACCGATTTTAAACAGGTCAAACTTTACAGTGAAAATGGAACACAAAGCTCTATATTTAGTAAGTGTTCAGATCTTTTTGCTGTCAGATCTTTACGAAGATGTCGGTATCCGACACGGACATTAGAGCTAAAATGAAACAGATCAATAAGTGACTCAAGCAGAAGAGCACAATTCGTGACGCCTGCGAAAACAAACGTGGGCGGCACCGTAATCTAAGATGACCGGGAAGGAGCTAATAGTTTGGGTAAATTTACTTCGGTAGGACAGCGCACCAGTGGCCAGATTGATGCTTCAGCTTCAAGCCAAAGAATTGACATTTGACGATGATCTTTTTGACAAATTTGCTGCTTCCCCTACTTGGATCCAGCTATTTCTCCGTCGACATCGGCTTTCTCTACCGGCCCGAACTCGACAAGGACAAACGACTCACGAGGATACTCAGGAAGCAACTTAAGCGTTTCGTGCCCCTGTTCGACGCACTATTGTAGAAAAGCAGTGTGTTCAAGTGTTTAATGCCGACTAGACCGGTAAACTACATTTTTATTTTTCTCAAATATTTTTTTAATTATTGTTTTGTTTTCTAGCTGTGTGTTTCGAGTATTTGCCTAAGCAGACAATTACAGAAGGCGGTGTGAAAACGGAATGGGTTAAAAGTGCGAATAAGGAGAAGCAAAGAGCAACCGCAATGATATTAGGTGACTGGGAAGGCAATAAGTTCCCAACGTTTCTTCTTTTTAAAAGCCATCCCTCCAAAAAAAAGCAAAACAACAAGAGAACGACACTTTACGCCATGGTTTTGGAGTTACAGTATGGAATCGCGAGATAAAAGCTTTGCAATCGCGGATGGAGCGTGAAATTTACGGAATCGATGTGCATGGTGGAATTCAGAGCATTCGCTGAAGCTTCTAGAATTTCATTTCGGTAATCGACCCAATCGAAACGAAAATGTCCTGCTTTTGTGGGACGACTTTAGTGGGCATTTGGCCCCCGAAATTATCAGTTATGTAGAGACTATCAACGTTGTACGGCTGAAGATCCCTCCTCGGTACGCGTATGCCTGCCAACCTGGTGACGTATCGTGGAATAAGCCTTTCAAGACTGGGCTGCGAGCACATTGGATTACGTGCGTGCATGATCATCTCGTCGAGTATCATGCAGGGTCGCAGAAACGAGAAGAAAAAAAAACGTATTCAGCTACAAAAGGACATACTTGAAGCTCGCAAAGAACTTACACAGGCAGATACAGACAAAATGGTCGCAAAATTGCGTGAGAAGAACCCTGAAGAGAAGTTTCAGTTGGAGCCACCGAGTCGCAGAATAATCATGGATTGGGTCTCTCAATGCTGGGCAGATCTATCAAAACAAACGATCATTAGTGGCTTTGATAAAGTTGGCATTCTGAAGGACACTAGGCCTGCCGTGGAAGACACTAACCTAGAGCAGATTGAAAACAGGATTGTTGAAGAGCTGGAGAATTGCGATCCAGCCAAAGATAATGTAGCGTCGGATAATGATAGGTTCTGGCGAAGAGATTAGTAGTAAAAGCGAAGATGATGCATGAGTTAATGCTATGTTTGCTTTAGTAAAATAATGATATGCATCCGTATGATGGTTCACGAGATTTGCAATTTACGCTTGCTTCGTGACCCTTAGGACTACGACGATACGGTAGTAGTATTTTGATTTTCTATTTAAAATTAAAAAAAAGATGAGATTCTCCTATTAACCCTTTCATGGTCAATGGGGGTATTTTTCCCCCTTTGGAGGGTGTATCCTCGAGTACCACTCGTATCACCCACGAAAGGGGGCAGGATGCTTCCGTTCTTTTTTTTTTGTGGTGGATGAGACGGAATCGCCCTTTCACTTGAGCTACAAGGATTCACAGAACTTGTTTTTAAAAGTAATGATACCCCATCGCCCCCTTTTCTTCCATCCTCGACTGCTAAGGGCCTCTTATTTGCAAATTCAAACGGGCAAGTCCACATAACGCTTTTTGTTTGGGCACCATAAGTAGCAGCGAACATGAGCGCGTTGTGCTCCTAGATGTCTCTTGTGTGTTCTCCCGTCAAGATGGAATGGTATGACGACTTAGACTGCGTTTCACGAGTACATGGACCAATACCAGAGGATACTCTCCAGGATTTTTCGACAGCGCACGCCTACATCGGCGGAGATAAGGAATCGAGAGATTCAAACGCTTGCCAGATCAACTGTTGAAAGCTCCAAGTCGCCACAGCCCAATAAGGATGAGCGTGGGCTGGAGGCTGCTGGTGTCTGCGATGATCCATCACAGCGACTAATTCCAATTCATCAAACTCGTCTGCATGTACGACTGGGTTAGGCAGAGTCGTGGCACGGAACAGTAAAAGTGTCATTTTCGACAAATCAACGGGTTGCAAGGCCAATGTGAAGACGGCAGTAACATGGAATGACGCTGCCGAGCTTAGGAAGTTTATGGTGCGCGTCACAGCGTTCAATGCCGCGCACAACCACAGAGTTTCCAAGGCTCTATATGACAATCATTCCTCCAACAGGCGCATACAAGACCCTATGATTCTAGCGTATGTCGACAAACTACAAACGACAGAGTCCAAACCCAAGCTGATAATGCATATCGTTGAAAGAAGACGGGTACGAAGCTGTAGATATTGCTCTTGGATCTCCAACTTCTTTCTGTGTTGTAGGTAAGAACGTTACGCTTCGTGATGCGCATAACATGGTGGCCTAAATGAAGGCGAAATGAACATGGAAGCGAGACCGGAAATGGTGTGTGTGGGTGGGTGGGGGGGGGGGGATCTGTTCGAGTGTCGGGTTAATCGCGCGTCGGTGTACGTCGACGATAACAAAACAAATCAGACTATTACGCTTCTGACACGGCAGGTGCTGTGTTGGTTTAAAGCGTTTGCGGATGTATTGTTCGTCGATGCTTCGCACAACTCGAATGCTTCGCGTCACAAGTTATTTTCCTTTATGATGAATGAGGTGCAAGTTCTTGTATTGTGCCTTTCACTTGTTCTGCGCTCAGTATTCTGTCGTAATTCCAGCTCGCTCTCGATGCTAAATCCAGCCGGTTAAAAATAATTCCAGTCTAAATACGGCTGCAAATCCCCAATAATCCGAGGCAAATGAGTGGCACTCAGAACCACGACCAAGAGAAGTAAGACGAAAGGAAGCGCGTCTTAAGCGGACTACTGCGCCCTTGCCTACTAACTGTTGTGCCACTTGTTTCCTTCCGGCGGGTTGTATGCAGCGTGCCGCAGCTCGACACCTCTCCGCTCCCGTTTCGCGCACGTCCAGGCGATCCCCACAGCCTCTCAAGCCGAAGTTCGACCTTGCGAACTGGTCGCGCGCTCTCAGATCTTTCGCCGGCTAACTGTTTTCTCACAGGAGGCTGTTGGAAGTGGGAAGTCGTTACAGGTAAGATACGGGCTGAATGATGCTATCTTCTGATACTTGATCAGTTCTAAAGGTATTGTATGCATGTTTTAGCAGTTTAGGTGTGCACTGGACCATTTGTGGGACCCTGAAGCAGCGTATCTCCGATGAGCTTGAGTCTACCAGCAACATTAGCTGTTGTATTGACGATAAAGGTGGGCGAGCCCTTCGGCAGCAGCAGAACCAGCTATGGAAGCTCACAAATGTTGGCTTTTGTTGTTGATGATGGCTACCTCGGGTTTCGGGCCCGTGTGCGTCGGTGTGTCGATAAGTTAGAAGCGATCGAGTGGCCTGAAACTGGACCAATCTTATTGAAGCTTACTAATAGTGCTTCACAAGCAAGTTCGTGACGCTTGCTAAATCTGACGAGGAGCTCGCTGCTCAGCTAGCGTCTACTTGGAAGCTTGCGGCTAAACGGAAAAATGGGTACGGTGCATTTGCTCTAATGGTTAATTGAAGATGGAATATTGAAGTTTATCTTTTTATTGTTGTACATATTGAGGCAAGCTGCGTTCAAACTAGAATTTTTCATCTACGTCAGCAAGGTGTCAGCATCTTCGTCGATATGTAGAGCCACCGAGGGAAGGATTGCAGCAGCAACTTCGCTAATAGACGAACATCTCAGCTCATTGCCGGTGGAAGACCAGCTCGGTGATGCTTCACGTGCATACTGGGCGGTGAGTCACGCGCGGCAGCTCGAGCAGACTCCTCTCGTTATGCCTACGAATCCAACTTTCAACCAGTTTCGCCGCATTGATGCTCTGCAACGTGATGCAGATGTAGAGACTCAATCTCGTACGGCTCCAAGAGAGTTTGTTACTGTTCGTTGCCGCCTCAATGGCGGCTTAGTTCCTCTCGAGCTGCACGTAGCTGAATTGCGTGAGGCGTTAGGCCTTCCCGATTACGACCTACGTCCCTCGTTTCGTGAGCCACTGCCTACCACCAGTCCGACCGTCAACGTTGAAGACGTCGATCACATGAGCGATACAAGCATGGAATAATAACGAAGTCAAAAAGAAATACATTTTTTTTTACTGAAAAAAAGATTCTTGTCTAGATCTTGGAGCCCATACCCGCAATGGTTGTGGAGATTGACGCCAACGTTCTCGTGCTTCTTCGTGCATTGTACCAGAGCTACACTGATCGTTCGTAAAGCGTCTTGTCGAAAAGCCAATGGCGTGTGTCGAATGAGCCAGCGTTTAAGCAATGATATTCCAACTTCGATAGGGTTTAATTGGGGAGAGTAAGGCGGCAGAAAAAAACAATATGCTGCCCCGGAAGTGTATTAGTTCCTCTAGCTCCTTGCACATGTGGATTTTTGCATTATCGAGAACGACGATAGATCTACAAAAAAAAGTTAGAGAAACCCAGCAGTTTGGCGGTTTGCTACCCGCCATTCGTTGCTAAGTGTACCGCAACTCAGTCTCTACGTAGCCTCACTTCCATTTTGTCTCCAGCGTCGTCATGACAATCTCGACAGACTTGCGGTGGAGAGCTATAGTGTTAGTGTACATGTATGACATTAGCATGGCGCTTGTATCTTGTGTTTTGGGTGTGTCTATTCGATCTATTGAGCGGTGGCATCGTCTTTTCAAAAGTAAAGGAAATGTGCTAACAGAAGATAGAAAAACTAAATCCGCACGATGGCCTCAAGAGGCAGTAGATTTTGCCGAAGACTACATTCGTGTTCATCCGTGTTTTTACTTAGAGGAATTACAAGAGGCAGTGAAGGACAGGTTTGGTAGCACGCTGAACTATTCTACTCCAACACTTTGTCGTCTTCTTAGATTTGACCTCAAAATTACCAGAAAAGTACTAACTAAGCGCGCGCGTGAAAGCGTGCCGGCTGAAGAAGAGAGCTTCTACAGAGCTCCACCACTTGTTATTGTGATATTCCCTGACGATGACAATCCAGTGATAGTTCCAAGAGATGTGATATTCGGCTGAGAAGCGGTAGCTAACGTTCCAGAGATATTTCCAGCCACTGTCAGCGAGCTCAATGTACCAACACTAGTGATATTTGGTTGCACAACAGTGATTAACGTTCCAGAAATATTCCCAGATACTGTCAGTGAACTCAACGTCCCCACAGATGTGATATTCGGTAGTCAATGTGCCAGAGATATTTCCAGATACTGTCAGTGATCTCAACGCCCCCACAGATGTAATATTTGGTTGTACGGCAGTTTGAAGAGTGCCAATCAAGTTAGTGGCTGTTAGAGTCCGGAAAGAGCAGCTGTCTTTGTTGGCATCGACCATAACAACCTTCGACGTTGTGACTGTTCCTGCTGTCACACCTGAGAGACTCGTCAAGTCAACCGCTGATCCCGCAATTGTCAATGATCCACAGCCAAGATTCCAGCCACAGCAATTGAACTAAAAACATCAGTTCCGCCTATTTTTTTTTTTTTTTTGATATCGTTTGTCTGCATCAGCAATTGTGAGATAGTCATTTGATCCAAGGAAAAACGAGCTGTTGAAGATTGAACTGTTTGTCGTTGGTGGAAGAGACATTTTTGGTTGCTTGTATATAGTTACAATGATAAACTTCTATGAAACCATAGACAAGAAGAAGCTCAAGAAGTTTCCGAAGAATGAGCATTTCGAGTTGCCCTTTCGCATGTGCGTAGCAAGTCCATCGGGCAGCGGGAAGAGTAACACCGTACTCTACATCATCGCGTTGTTGAGCAAATGCTTTACGAAGATCGGCATCTGCACGAAGACAAATGAAACCCTGTACGATCATCTCAAAGACACTATTGATAATGTAGATGTGATCGAAGAAGGAATGGTCCCTGCGATGGGCGAGTATGACTCCGAAACGAGCAACCTAGTTATCTTCGATGACTTGGTTCTAGAGCCAAAGAAGACTCAAGCTTAAATAGGTCAATATTGTATTAGAGGGCGGAAAAAAGGATGGAGTATGATCTACATCAGTCAAAGTTACTTCGGCATTCCAAAGACGATTCGCATCAATAGTCAATATATCGTTCTTGGTCGAAATTTAACTCAACGTGATCTCGCAATCATTTGCCGCGACTTTCCGAGCGATATTCCAATCAAAGATTTCATTGATCTCTACAAACGGATCACAAGCGAAAAAATGAGCACGATGATGATGGACATCATCGACAGGAAAATATATCAGAATATTACTGATTTTCTTTGCGACTTATAATTACATCGTCGAGTCGGAGTTTTTTTTTGTCTCATCAGCAAACGAATACAAGCATTGGGATCCACAATCTGAAGTGGTTTCATGTCTTGGTCATAAAAGCTCAAGGTGATTTCATTGTTTGTTCCTTGCATCGGACAGTAGGCAAATCCTTGCCCTTGTGAAGTGGTGATAAGTCCTCCAAAACCAACGCCAGCCGATGTGAATGTATGTAGCACTTGATTGTTATTGGCGATCGGGTTGTACAGATTTGACAATCCAACAATAACAGCAGCGATAGGGTCAATTTGAGGTACGATGGTGCTGTTAACAGCGTAAACGCTTGTCGTCTGCGCAGCTGGGTACGTACCATTGGAATATCCAACGATAGCTCCAAATCCAGAATTGTCAATGAGCAATTGAGGCGTATATGCAGTAGCTGGCATTGTGGGGAAACCGGCTGCTGCAGTATAGCCAGTAATATTCTTGACGGGATTCATCGTAAACTGAATCGTATAGGCAGATGGGTTCTCTGTGCAAGAGATGAAGTAATAGTATTCGCCCGTAGTGTTGTTGGTTAAATACAGGTTGTTTTGAATTGATCAGTACTGGAGGTAGTTGTTGATATCACTTGCTGAGTATGTGCCATCTGGTAAGGTGATTGAATACGTTGTCGTCGTAGCAGCTGTTGGCCAAATGATCTTGAATGAATTATTTTGACGTTGACCAGTGATCGCTTTCCACGAGTAGTAGATGCTGATCGAACCAAGGGCGCATTCGAATTGACTAAAATCGATCGGCTGACTGAATCGATATCTGAACTGATGCTGAGCAACCTGATTGTTGATGTTTAAACGAATTGGAAAACTCATCTCTGATAACTTATATATAAGTAACTAAATCAAAAATGCATCGCAGGAAAAGAATTCGTCGGCAGATGATGCCATCACCTATGAAGATTGATGGTGATGGAACAACATCGGGAACTGTTAAGGCATTAGTGCCTGCTAAGACTGATCATGGTTCTACTAACATTGAGACGATAACCAAACCGTTGGAGAAGATCAACGTTTCTCAGCTCGCGAAAGAGCAGAAAAAGAAGAAGAAGCCGAAATACATCGACACAAGCAAGTTGCTCACCTTCAAGCGTGACTCTAAGAGAGCTTCATCATCCGCTTGAACTGAGTGTAGTAGTTGGTTGAGAACACGCCCTTCTCGTACAGCTTGTCAAGAAGCTGCTTCATTTCCTTTTTATGCCTGGATTATCATCGCCAATAGCCGTAGCTCCTTGTAGCATTTTCAAGCGCTTTACAACACCATCCAGTTGCTCATTGTACGCCCAATCAAATTCTCGTGACTTGATATGACATTTGCTCAAGCAATATCTCATGAAGTCTTGCTCAGGCTCGTCGAGAAGGCTGAAGAGATGCTTGTCGAAGCTCTTCTCCTCTTCAATCAGGTGCCATAAATCAACAAACGCATGAGAGACGAGCATAGTCTTCAGGTTTACGTGTGTTTTTCCGCTTCGTAGACGCGCGTGCAATCCATTGAAATTCATAACGTGTGGACCGCATTTGGAGAAGTCTTTCGCCTTCGATTCGATCACCACTGTTGGTGGTCGTCTGGACGTCATTTTAATGTGATTTGCTTTTTTATATTGGGTGTATTCATATTACTTCTCATATATTTCAATTTCAAGTGATTTATCACTGCCTGTTG